CTCTTTCACAAAGGAGATGATAAACAGTTATTAGAACAAAGTTGTTTCCCCTGGTTGAACTCAAGAGCAGGACCTATTAGAGAGCTTAAGTGCAAATTTCCATGACCTAAACCTTTGCAATAATGTGTGTCATCATTTGTTCATGTTGGGATTATAAAAAGAATAGTAGCAACAATAAAAATTTAATGAAAAATTAGACGATAGTGGCAAAAATGTCCCCTAGTTGACTTGAGGACCACAATGACGAGCTTATGGTGTTGCCATAGCGGCTGAGTAGGACAATCGGCAGCTGTGCAATATAGAGCGTTGGCACTATTGTATGACCAGATACGCAAATGTTACATGCAATGACATGCATGAGCGTGTGCTAAATGAGCATCGTTCATTGAATGCACTGATATTTTTAATGATGCCCACTAATGAATGTGAGCGTCGTTCACTCTGGCCACACATCAGAAATAGCAACCGCAGGCGAAAATTTTCTTTTATGTTGTGATACGAAATACGATGTATGACGATCAGGATTGCGGCTTAGAAAATTATCATGTGATGATCTTGATCTTCTCATGCATTCCGTGTCTTGTTCAGTATTGATGTGCTCCGTGTGCCGGCCGTGACACTAATGATTTGTTTATATTAATAGACTCCAAGTACTTTCTAATGGTAGATGATGCTAGTGATATTTTAATAGATATTTTTCTGACCACAAATTTCACTTTGGATTCAGAACAGCTCATAAAAATAATCAGAAGACATAAATGTGAACTAGTTCATTTTAATCTGTGTGAAGTAAACTTTACTCTAGTTGCATAACACTGGTTAGATGGCAGGTCACCATGGAATAATAAGACAAGGTCGGTCAGTAGGTCTACAGCTGCTTGTAGACATCAGTCAGTTTCTGTTGGTCTTTAAAAGTGAATGCAGGGGTTCATGCGCTATGGTTCTCCTTTCTAATGAAAATTGAATTGTCTAATTAGTGCCTTGTTTTGTTAGACATTGTTGTTTAGTTGCTGTATTGCTCGTGCCCCAGTACTGATCATTCACTGGAACCTCAGTCTGCAACGGGTTATTTGCCTCACTTGTCTCTTTGGACCAAAGCATCTGCTTACTGTAAATATGTGAATGTAATGAGAATTCTGATTTATTTAATGATTCACATTCCAAATACAATATAGGTGCTGGAGCTTGTGCTTATATGTGGGCTACTTTAGGGTCAAAACATGCACAGTTTCCAGATGGAAGGACCCAAGCTCACAGAGCTCGCACCTTGAGGCTGTCACATTATCCAGTGCAGGTTTGTGGAATCAATTTATTCAGCCCACAATCTGTCTGCGACAATTTTCTCCCCTTCTGATCGGAGGACAGCCTCACCTCAGACATGTCAACAAGTTAGCATGTGATCAAGACCAGTCAAAATGTGATCTGTGAGGGTTGTTTTGGCTGTAGAGAGGTGCTGACTCTTAGATTAATGAGGCAATAAACCACCGATCTGAACATTTTCACTGCTGTCTGTAACTGTTTCATGACCTCTCATCTCCCATTTCTTTCTTTTTTTTTTTTAATTTTGGGCTTTAATAAAACCAACGTAATGCTAGGTATTTCAAGATCATGATCTTTCAAGATCATGTTAGAAATGTCTTTCTTGTCCAGTTAGAGACAGACCATATCTAATCAGAGTAAGCCTGACTAGAGTTTATTTCTATCTTCATCTTAGAAGTCATCACGCTGGTTTGAACATATTATTGTGAAATATGAAATGTAACATGAATTGTGTTTGCCTATGACCAGGATGCTAGGAATTCAGGTAAGTAACACCCCAGTATTAACTCGACCGGCTTTTGGCTGTGAAGGTTAGTTGGCTGATTTTCTAAGTAACCAGCATAACCTACTGCCATAAGCCATGAAAGCCTGGTCAACATGATAGATCTGTATTTTATACAATTACAGGTCTGTTCTAGCACCATGTAGCCTGCCAGGGTTGAGGTGCTTGGGGTGTGGAGAGTATCCTCTGATGATGGAGCATCATGTGTGTCCCTCAGCTAAGCATTCACTTTGTCTCCTTCAGAAGAGGAACCATTGATCCCATAGAGACAGACATTAGACATCATGCCGTCTCACATTTGGGACTGTAATTTAGCCCAGAGCTGAGCAGTGATTCTGTCCATTCAGCAGGGAGGCCCGATAAAGGCCAGTGTCAATATTTTCTGTGGCGTCTCTGCCAAGATTCCCTCTGTCGTCATCTCAGATCACACAGCCGTAACGCACGTCAACCGCGAGTGCTGTTTCTCCTGGCAGGGAATCATGGAAGGAGTAATATGTGCACATCTGTGCAGTATACATGCAAGGTAGCATGTTTGGTGAATGATAGGGCAGAAAGTAGCTGGGGAGCAGTCGTGGTGAGTGCTGAAGTTTTTGCTGCTCATATGTGCTAGTAAATAAGTAATACTGTATAACAGTAATTCACCTATGTGAAATAAATAATAAAAATAAACACAGATAACAGTATTTATCGAATACCATATAAAATCGCCACTGCTAAGCTAGGATTGCTTTCAAAGGGCTGGAGCCACTGCCCCGGTCACCACGGTTACAACCACTGTCCCTCCATGTCCACCGCCCAGTGGTGGCCAGCTGGCCACAGTTTAAAGGGGCCTGCCTTGCTTTCTAAGTTCCTATGCTTCACCCCCGCAGTTCCCGCTGGCGTTGGCTGGGAATCCGGCCAAGGGGTGGAGCTGTGGACAGTTTTAGGACACAGTTCAGATGAAGTGGACTCGGGGAAGCAGCTGCCCTGTGGCCCTGCCCCCCCCACTCCACCTCACCCCTCCCCCACCATAGGATGTAAACGCAGACTGTTATGATATGAGAATCCCCAGTGTCACATAATAGTAATGATAGGCAGGGGTGCCAAGATGGGGGGGGGACGTTAGGATAATTCTAAGGGCCCCTCAGCAAGGGGGGCCCTAAAACATTTGGAATATAATTGGATTGATCTTGGTTGGGGGCCCAATATTTATAGCGGCACCCCTGCGGATAGGTCCAGCATAAGGAGTGCTTCTACGCTTTTACCTCTCAGTTCTGTCGTGGCGGTGCCGTTGGAGAAAGCCCTCCATCGACTGTGGTGCTTCGTGATCTCCTGGACCTTGCAGGTGTAATGGCCTCGGTCCTCCACGGAGATGTTGAAAATGAGCAGGTTGTAGGTCTCGCCCTCCTTCTCCTCGAAGAAGCTGACTTTGGGCTGGTGGAAGCGGCGTGTGTAGTTGCCGTAGACCTGGGCGCGCCGTACGTTCATCCTGACGATGAGCTGCTCCTGGCCGGCCTCCAGCGAGAAGAGCCAGCGCAGCACCAGCAAGCTGGAGGGCCTCCTCCTCTGGGTCACCCTGCAGGTCAGTGTGGCGTTGTGCCCCTGCGGGACCACAGCCACAGGCCCCGGGATCACACTCACGTTGAGGGCCTCACACACCTCTGGAAAGAAACATACTGCTTTAGATCCTGTAGAAGTGGATGTGAGAGGGGTGGCTGTCACCTTCCAGAACGCGGCCATGTTTACCCCACACACAAGTTTACTGGGTTTGTCTGATGTTTCCGCACAATTGACACCCCTCTCATTAGGTCCTAGCTGATGTCCTGCAGTTGTTGATTAAATTGCAAGAAAGGCTTTGCTCTCCTTTGTAAAGCTGCTCTGTAAATCCCGTTGTTGCCTCCATCTGTGATACTATTCTCACTGCTAAACACTATGCAGGGAAGAGCAGTAGATAGAAATTAGCTGCACAGATTTAAACTGAAGTCACGGTAATAAATAAGGCTATGTGGTGCATGCTGATGGAGCGACAGCGTGCAGAGCTGCTCTCGTGCAGACGGGTCTTCTTGTTGACCCAGTTTAAAGGAGGTGTGTGTTGCGGGACATGCTCGATACTCGAAAGCAACACCACTGCCAAAGAAAACAAGCCCAGCTGCAGGTGGAAACCATTTAGGCTCCTTCACTGAAGCTGAACAACAAGGCAGAGAAGATTGCAAACATCTGTGCTGAGCTCGCCGTCCCTGTTTATTTTTGCTCCTTATTTACGATGCTTCCCCCCTACGCCAGTCTGCTCTTTGTCTCACATGCCGAGACCACATCACAGGGACAGTCGGTGACCTAGATGGACATGTTTCCAGGCACGACTCTCCTGTGAGTATAGATTAGTCCATGCCTGCACCTTTCAGAAAACTCGAGGGAGAACTCCAGACAGTCGTGATCCCTGAGCAAAGCTTGGTAACTTTGCTGAACTGAATTTGTGTAACAAGCAGTCACATCTGAAGTTACTGAGCGAGTGACCGGTGCCTGAAAACATCAATGTCAGTTCTGCCACTTGGTAAGAATCAGCATTAGGCTTGGCCCCTGTGCATTCCATGCATTTATGTACATTCTTCTCCGGAAAAAAACAGCCTCTGTTCTCCAGGTTTTCTCACCAAATGCCTGCAAATCTCCCTTTTATCTCCACAGTGTCTTGCCGAATGCCTGATCACGTTACTCTGCAGAAAGAAGTGTTTCCTGTCAACTGCCGAAAAAGGGCAAAAGCCATCTTACCTGCCAGCAGAGCCCTAGTCAGGAGGACTAAGAACGCAGAGGAGATGTTCATTTTGCCGAGCTGCAGGCTCCATACCCCAGTGCAGCGGCTCAGGCGAGACCAGTCCAAGGGCTTTTCTCCCTTCTTTTTCCCATTTGGTGTGTAATATGAAACAGTGCCTCTCTGTTCCCGGTTAGAAACACCCTCCGAGTTCCGCGTACACCCCTCCCCTGCTCAGCGGAGGAAATGTCATTTCCTGTGCTGGAGCTGCGTGTGGGACAGACCCCCAGCTGGGGCTGCAGGGAACGTCATGCCAGCAGGTCTTTGTGCCACCAGCCCTAGTGAAGATGAACTGGTTGTGGGGTTACTTGTACCCCGCCACAAAGCCATCCAGTGTGCCTTTGTCCAGCCCTGTGTGTGCCCCTCTGTAGGGAGCACAGAATGAAGTTGGGGGCACTGGCATCTGTGGGGCACAGGCTTAGGTTTAGGGTTGGGGGAGGGGCACTTTCTCAAGTACACTGCATTGGGGTTTGGGGTGACGGGGGTCACTATGTCAGGTACACAGATGGGGGTGTGAGATGGGGGGGGGGGGGTTCTTGCTAATTACACAACCCAAGCTGCTGGGACTCATTGTTATTCTGCATCCCTCTGTGGACACAGAGCCTTTCTGAGGCAGTGGAGAGTAAACAGCAGTGTGTGTGTGTATCTGTGTGTGTTTGTGTGTGTCTGTGTGCGTGTGTATCTGTGTGTGTTTGTGTGTGTGTCTGTGTGCGTGTGTACCTGTGCGTGTGTGTGTGTGTGTGTATCTACTGTATGTGTGTCTGTATGTGTTTGTGTGTGTGTCTGTGTATCTGTGTGTGTGTGTGTATCTGTGTGTGTATGTGTGTGTGTGTGTGCGAGCGGGTTTACCTATCCTTATGGGGACACAATGTCCCCATAACGTGATAAATATCTGTTTTTTTTCCCTTATGGGGACCGGTTTCCTGGTCCCCATAAGGGAAAACTCTATTTTATAAAAATCGGTGACTGCTATGAAAAAACTAAAAATGCAAAAACTCTTGTATTTTGTTAGGTTACTTATGGTTATGGTTAGGGCAGGGTAGGGGTTAAGGTTGTCATAGTTAGCGTTAGCATTTTGCCCATTGAAATGAATGAGCGGTCCCCATAAGGATATGTTTACCCTACATGTGCGTGTGTGTGTGTGCACGCCCCCCCCCCCCCCCCCACCCTTGTAAAGAACACTTGACTGAAATGTGCATCTCATTAAGTAGAAAGGCACAGCTGCAGTTAAAAGAGTGCAGAGTTGGCTACCATTTATGCACTGTCCATCCATCCATCCATCTGCTTATTCTGCTCAGGGTCATGGGATTAAAATTATTTTTTCATAGTAAATGAAATGGTATCACTTGATTACTGTTTAGGTTACGTGGGGAGATGTGGGCCAGATACAGATACAGATATAGATACGGATACAGATACAGACACAGAGCCAAGAGGAAAGACAAGGACAAAATTAAGTCGACGTGAGGGCTGGCTTTTGGGAGCTCGCAGCCTCACCACCACAAGGTGCTCATTCCCAAAGATTTGCTTACTGCACTGTAGTTTTAAAATTACGATGAAATACCAGGCAAAAACATCCCCTTTTTTAGCATAAAAACACACCTATGGCTGATGCCCAGAAAATGTGCTCTTCAGACAGCAGCCCTGGCTGTTAATGCCCACAAAGTTCCAGCTGATATGAGCCTCCTGTCGTGTCCTATGCCCTCTGGTTGGAGAATTTGACACTGCCCCCTAGTGGCTAGAATATGTCATGCTTGGACTTCTGTTTTGTTGCTTAATTACTAGTGAATGCAATTTCTGAAGGCTATATATTATTAGACATTAACTGACAGGCTTTACCTCTGATTGCTGCATGGCATCGGTGCTGGCTCAGAGAGACCCTGACAGCGGTGAATTGACCATGAACACTGTGTGTAATTTCAGTTGCTGTACAGCACACCTGGAAAGGAGCACAAGCATTTGTTAGAGTACAGACCAGGCACACTAATCTGCTTGCTTTTCCGTGTGCGGCTTGTGGTTCTGCTGCGTCCTGAACCTCCGCAACACGTCCTTATTGCAGATAGCCGTGATTCTCCATCATTCAATTGCCTTTCCCACAAGCAGGTCGTCTCCAGCAGCGAAATGGCTCCTTCATCCAGGAGATGATTAATAGGTATAACTGGGTGAGGGATTATCTCCAGCAGCCTGGCGGAGGACAAGAAGGCCGGCCTCCCCAAAACACACCTGTGGCCCCATGGCTCTTACTCCAATCTCTGTGGCCCCTGATCAGGGACCATGCTTGCTTCCCTGGCCCCACGCACTCTTATTTTCAGGCTTCTCGGGGTAGGTTGGGGCTGGGGTGGGGGGGAGCTCTATGAATGCTTGGGAGTATTTATTGTGAGCTGCTGGATCTGGGGAAATCAAAGGGAGCGCGATTTTATATGTGCTGTAGATGTCTGCTCCCCCTGGCCCAGTAAACGGCAAGGAGGACCAGCCGACAGCGCCAGTACGTTAAATCATCCGCTCACTCTGCTTGTTTATTGACTTCGCTCATTGGCTCGTTAGGCTAATTACTCTCAGTCAGTTGGCTTTGTAATTATACCGCTTAATGCACAAAAGACCTGCCCACCGTAGGCCCTGCATCCGCTCAACGGCTGCTGGCCTCATCGATGGCCCCGGTCTAACCGGGCACAGTCACCCTCAGTGAGGTCACAGGACACCAGGGTTATACACCACTTGGCCTGGGGGGGGCACTGTCCCATTTCCCTCACCGTGCCGCGAGGAGTCATTCTTTACAGCAACTTACACATTTTAAGTTTGGTGTCATTAGAGATGTTAGAGATGTTCGTTTCATGTCTTCAGATTGGCAATGGAAACACCAAGCCTTCACTCTGACTGGTCCCAGCGTAGGGGTGGGGGGTGGCAGATGGCTCAGAAAGCATGGGAGGGGCTCAATAACTGATAGACTCTGAGAATAACAAGCTGCAAACTCAACTACTGTTTCAGACATCTATTTCCTTATCACTTAGCAGAAACAATTTGATTTTTTTTAAAAACCACTTTCGCATAACAAATATTTCAGCTCACATAGCGTTTACATTAGGCAGCGTATACAACATGGATGTAAGTTCAGTATGTAAAATGAAGCACATCAGAAATATCAGGATAGGTACAACCATTTTGATTTACTACACGTATTGGTTATTTACTGATCTCTTTAAAATGTATGAAGGGTCTGAAATCTGAATTGCTGTCTTTTTCTTTGCTTAGTCTGTCTGTCTGTTTATGTAGTTTTACTGAGACACCAAGGGTTTACTTGTAAAGCTATTTATACATTTTTATTAATATTTGGTGCCGTCCAGTCTATGCTGACTACCTCCATCATATAGATGTAATTTTCCCATGATTCTTGGACAAATGGTGACATAAATGATCATGTGATTTTGTGGCTTTATTTATTTAGAAAGTTTAGGATTTGGCAGCAGGGCACATGTAAATACAGGCTGCAACTTTTGGGGGAAATTGTCCTGTTAAACCATTTTTTGGTAAGACACCGTTTAAAACAGTTTAAAAACACACAAACATGCAGTCTAAAACGTGATGATTTCCAGTGACTGGGAATTAATAGCCCCACGTTTTTCCTCGTACAGACTCTTGGAAACTTCTGACAACAGTCTTGTGGCATGTGGAAGTTAAATTTCCTGAGCCAATCACAGGCCTGCTCACCATGTGACTACAAACCAATCACTAACTAGTTCCTGCCCGCTAGTCTATGTCAGTCACCACAGTAACACACTGGCACCTGATCCCCTAAGCTTGCTGCTCGGAGCTGTAGGCGTACTGCCTGGTCGGCTGCTTAGCAGCACATAATGAATTTATTTTTAGCACTGTTATAGAAAACTTTTAATGGAAACCCACTGCAACAACTGGTTTGAGCCATGCTTACAGTGTTACACTGGAGGTCACCTTGAAAACTCCTGCCAGGTCGTTACCTCCGAGCGTCTGACCAGGCTTTGCCAGTTCCTTCCTTCTCTCTCTCTATAGGCATGAGTTCTACTGCTCGAAGGGGTTGGAGGTCAGGGGTTGGAGGTCAGGGGTCTGGGGTGGTGGGTGAGCGAGCGGTGCAGCAGAGCGAACAGCAGTCTGCGAAAGCGGTCCATATGTGGGTGTCCATCATACTGGGGGTGTTCAGGGGGGCAACCCAGACTCCTGTGAGAGTGTTCAGTGTGTCCATCTCCAATTATAGTGCAGGCTGCCTGGAGCAGAACTGTGGGAAGCGCGTGAGGCCTGACAGCTTCTGGCTGGCTTCATGGACCCTCTCCACACCTCCTGACCTCACAGTAAGTGGCAGACTGAAGGAAAAATGCACTCAGATGCCTTTCTACTTTTAAATCTGCAGCAGGGGCGGGAAGGGAATTACCGCAGTAACTGGAGTGTTATGTTTTTAACACCTACAGCAAACTCTGCAGCCGTGGGTACTAACGGAAGCGTTTTTGCTGAGCATTATTCATTATTAATATTTACCTGTCAGAAACATCTGTTTACTTTGTACATACAGCATTTAAAAAAAAATCTGCCAGCCAGGAAAAAGAAATATGGACGTAGGTATATATTTTTGTCTTTTTTTTATATGAGTGAGCTGTTATTTGAGTTGGATCATCAGTGCTGTTCCTGACTGCTGAGTGAACATTCATTACATTATAAACGATACAAGCATAACACAGGAAAGCACGGCGACTCAGAAAGTGGTCCTCGCAATAGTATCAGAACTGCAATGATGGCCAGTCATCATCAATCGACTATCTTCAAAATCAAGCAGACTAAAGGCAGTGTTTGTGGAGAGTCGACATGTAATTATGCTCTTTTATATATATGAGAGGGGGAAAAGTTCCTGTTTAACAGAATCTTCATAACCACACATTTGATTCTCAATTTGATTCTCATATCCTTGATCTGAAGAATGCTGAATTACTGCTGAGGAAGGCCGACCATTCTGAAAAAGGCTTGGTACGGCTTCTCGACACCATATTTTTGTCCCCTCTCTGAAGGAGAACTGACACGAGGGTCTCAGTGATGCGGGGAGCCGTTTCTGCTCCGGGACACACGTTTGCAGGAGCACAAACGACTTTGTGGAAGTTCTGTGGGCAGGTATGCAATGCTTAGGGCATAGTCAGGATTCAGTTACCAGGGCTTCAAGGCTTTTCATCAGCATTACGGTGTCGAAAGCTGCTTCGGCGCGTCTCGGGCTCCGAATATAAAAATAGCCGACGGGCCTGTTTATTTCATCTGCTTGTCACCCGACACCCCATGGTTATTGCTATACGTGTGTCAGGGAGCTTCTTCCCATGGTACCGCTCTGCCTGGCCTGTGCTGCTTTGCCGCTGCTGCCTTACCATCCTCCTCCGGACAGGACTAGCTGGCCAGCCCTGCTGTGATGTGTGTCTCTCCCATAGCTGCCCCACTGAAACACCACCAGTGCACCTTCCTGGTGAGTCTGGTCTGCCAGAGGCACGGTGTCCCTTGCAGGCTCCTGATGGAGCACAGAGGCATAAGGTGAGGGGTCCGAGGAATCGGCTAGTCTGCATGGGAATGCTGCACTGTTGCTTTTAACCTGGGGGAGTTAGAGGCGTCTATCCCAATTTGGGACACTTTTACAATAATTTACTGATGGTTTTCCTTTGTATCTAAAAATATAGACAACTGTATCATTAATGCCAACTGTCCTGATAATGCAAACCAAGCCTCTCTGTAATTAAATACCAGTTTCAATATATACAAGAGATACAATTTCAAGAAACAGGGGAACCATTTTGTCCCGTAGGTATTGCTCTACTTTATTTTTTGAAGTTTTCTCTTTTAATTAATTATTGCCATTGGGCCCCTCCAGATTCGCACCTTTTGGTGTCAGGTTACTCAGTGCAACAGGCAGCTCTTCATTGGTTAAAAATAACCATGTCATCTCCCAGCCTGCCACTGGCCTCTGCTTAAAAGCTCTGGATCACTAGTCGATGTAGATGAGTCACATGTTCTAGAATATGCAATGAGTTCCTGCAGATACATTCAATTCAGTAAATTTTATGTCTATATATTAAAGGTGATGCAAATAGTTTCTTATATTCCTACTTGAGATTTAATGAGTTTTTTAACCGTTGTGGTAATAAGCATTTTACTCAGTACATTGTCATGTTCTGCCGCTGCATTGTCTTCTGATGTTAGTATCAAATGCAGGTTTTGATATTTGGCCTTTCGTTGTCCATGCCTGCCCTTGAGTAAAAGAGTTTTAGGGTCCTCCTCCTTGGTTATGACCACAAGGCAAAGGATTAAAACAGCCTTGAGTGTTATTCTGGGATGTAATTAAGCCAACCAAGGCTGCAGTAATATTATCAGTGTGCGAGCCAAAGTCTTAGTAATCTTAGCTGTGATAGGTTTACACATCATGTCATTTTACCTGAATTCTCAGCTGCAATTGGTCTACAAACTGTCATGTTTTACCTGAATTCTCAGCTGTGATTGGCCCACACACTGCGTTCTGCTTTACATGTACTCTCAGCTGTGATGGATCTGCATAAATTGCACTTGATTACCTGTATTCCCTGTTGTGATAAGCTTACATATTGTGCCCCTGTTCATCTGTATTTTTAGCTATGATTGGTCCACAGACCATACCCTGTTTTACCAGCATTCTCAGCTGTGATAGCTCCACACATCATGTTCTGTTATAGCTATATTCTCAGCTGCGATGTTTGATTAGGGTTGGGCTGTTAATGAGCCATCCTGCTCCATCCCTTCCTATCCTTGCCCTCTAATTCCCATCATTACCTTCTTTCTTCTGCTAGTAATGAACTTGCTTATTTTGTTCTTTTTATTCTTCTTAATTTACTCTTATTTTTATTCATTATTTCTATTCACATTTTTGTTTCATCTATAAATATCTTTCTGTTCTTTCTGAAAGTCATTCTCCATCTTAATTTAGTGTATGTACTTTAAAAACACCCATTCATCCATCCATCTGTCCGTCCATCTATCCAACCATCCATCCATCTGTCCATCTTCTAATTGCTTATCCAGATCAGGGTTGCAGGGACTTTAAATGTATAGTACTATGATGGCTTAATTTCCCCTCAGGGGTCGATAAAGTTTGCTTGTTTTTCTGTCTGTCTGTCTGTCTTGAGCAGACTTTCATTCATGGTGTCTTTTGGCTCAGTAATCAAGTCATTTTCCATGACATCTGACTTCTGCTTCACTTCCACTGCAGAAAAGAAGAGAAGCTACATCACCTTCTGGATGGTGAACTGGCCCGGCCCCACAGAGTGTAGGAGATCCAGCACGCAGCGTGAGCCCGAGTGTAGCGGCCGGCACACTCGAGCAGGCCCACAGACCCGTCTCGGGATGAGCTCTCTTGACCGGCGACACCAGGGAGGCCGAACGGCCAAGCAGGGACAGATCAAGTACGCTGACGGCTTCATGGACGAGACGGACCGGGAAGTGAGCAGCCTCACTGACCGCGCCTTCAGGAGCCTCTGCGTTGGGGAGGAGGCTGCCTACACGGACCCCGAGCTCACCTCCTCCCCAAGGGATGCCTTCGCTGTAGAGCTCCCTGCGACATTCCAGCACTCCTTCATAGATAGTCAGGATCAGGGTCCCCGGTATGTGTCTCAATTGAGCAACGGTGCCATCGAGGCTATGTGGCAGAACAGACGCAGTAGGTCGAGAGTCTCATCCCTTATAAAAGCCTTCAGCTCATCCGAGGGTGGGTCTACAATGGACGGGGCGCCGGATGGCCGTCGGAGTAACCCGGACGGCTGGACCTGGGAGAGCTCGGCACTGCTCAGCCTCAACAATGAACTGTCGAATTTCCCTGCTTACTGCCGGGACCCTTTCACGCCCGCTGCCTCGCTTCAGGCCTCCCATTTGGGGCCTGCCTCAGCCTCCAGCAAGACACTGAGGAATAAAGTCAGCAAGGCCACGTTCAGGAAGCTCAGCTCCATCAACTATTTCCTCCACAGTGAGCACAGCCCATTCCAGACATGGGCGGATTACAACAGGATTCCTTGCCAGCGGGAAGCCACACCCCCTACTCTCTCCCCCACTGGCTTTCATAGGTGGTATGACTCTCCTCTGTACAAGGAGCTGACTGCATCCCACGGAATCCAAACCACCCACTCTGAGGATGTGAAATCCTACTGGATGCTAAGCAAGGACAGGACACCTTCCGAACTCGCAAGATCAGTGATTCAGCCCAAGCCTGCTGCGGTGGAGAAGCGCTGTGAGTCAGAAGTGTTGTCCAAATGCCCTCCGTGGAGAAAGAGCAGGAATCAGTTGAGCAATCAGCTCCCGGTGTACCGGCCGAGCACGGCCTCGCCCTGCAGCCACGCGTCCCGGCGACACGACGACGCCTCGTTCTCGGGGAGCCGCCCATCCGCCGTCCACCATCAGGTGCACACATTAGTGGGCGAGCAGACGGCAGGCAGTTGCACCCCGTTCAGCATCTCGCAGCTTCTCACCCCTGTCCTAAACGCCAGACAAGAAATGGAAACCTCTGAGGTTTCACAATATGAACTTTCGCCTGCCGATGACCTTGCTGCCCTAAGAGACGCTGAGCCCTGTTCCCCCCCGGAGCTCAAATTACGGGACAGCTACAAAGCCATGGCCTCCAGCTTGCTCTTCAACCTCAAAGATAATCGGAAGAGGGTGAAGAGCACATACAGCCCCACGAAGTTCAAAGGCCTGGAGCTATCGGACTCTGACAATCTGCCTTGCAGGCAGAACAATGCTGCTCTTGCATCAAAAAAATCTGCTTCTGGGCCTCCTGGGCCTGGAATCAGTACAAATGTGCAACCTGGAGCAGCAGAGGCCTGTTCAGTTTATAGTCCTGCCTTGCAACCCACAAAAGCATCAGCAGCTGATCATAAAAAATACACTGAAGCCAACAGACTGGATGACTATTTCACATTAATTTCACCTCCAAATGTTAAAGAAGCTCCTCTTTACAGTAACTCTGACAGAATCACACAGGAAAGTACACAGCAGATAGACCAGGTCTTTGCGAGTCAACAGAGCCAATACAGGCATTCACAACATCTCCCTTCAACATCCAATGAAAGCCTATCTAGAAACAAATCAAATCAACCCACCTGGAAAGAGTATAAGACAAGCCCAACAGAGCAGCTATCAACAGGAGGACCTACTGGATCCACCACAGTAACATATTCCCTTCATGAAAGACGAAACTCATTTTCCGTGAAAGAGAAGGATGTCATCAGAAGAGATGAACTTTTACACAACAAGATGGACACTACACAAAGTCTGGCGGCTTTCAAAAAACATGACACTGGACAGGAGGTGCGAGAAAATCGAAACAGCCCCAACACAGATGCATTTAACTTGTGTGAAAATGTAAATGTCAGATCGACAAGATCTTCACTGAAAGCAGATGAACTGGTGCAGAATAAGCCGAGCAGCCAAATACTTCAGGTGCAGAAGTGGGGTGGTACTACCCAAGGTATTCATGCACTGAAGGAAAAAATAGAAGCAGATACAGGATCCCATACAAGCACTGAAAGACAGAACACTACACATCGTTTGTTTCCCCAGAAAGAATCAGAGCACAGCAGAATAGCGATGAATGAAATCAAAGAAAAGGGCCATATACGACAGGGAGTTCTTAAAATCCAAGTGAATGACCCGGATAGCCATAGCGTGCCAGCAAACTGTCAAAATCTGCAAGATCTGAGCATAGGAACCATGAATAGGGCTGATGGTCAGACTGCTAAAATCCCTCCAAAAGGACTAAATGAACTTTCGTCAAGTGGGTTATACACAGTGCAGAATGATGAACCAGCTACAAAACACACACATTCACTGAAAGAAAGGAAACACGTTTCAGGTGATATGCTCCCTAAACCTGAAGGACCTACGGAGAAGAGTGCATCACAACGAAATGAGGAACTCCCTGATCAAGGGCAGAAGTCTGTTGGATACTCATCAAACAGAAAAACCACATCAGATAATTACAGTAACTATACACAAGCCAAACCGAGAGCAGGCCAGCATGCTACTGGCTTGAAACTTCCTGAAAGTGATACAACTGCTGCTACAGAACAAGATCATATGAAAAATGAACATCCTAGTGAAGACCACTACTGGGCTAAACAGAGTGAACAAATGACCAATGAGGAAATTTTAAACAAACGACATCCCAGTGTTAGGAAAACTAGGGGAGAGAAAATGCTTGCACAGAATAGTATCAAAGCAAGTACAGAATATGAACTCCGCAAAGGTCAAGGTTCGGATGACCCTGAAACAGATGGACAAGAAAACAGAGAGAGATTTATAATGAATGCAGTTAGGAAAAATGATGGTTTTGTTCAAGAAAGAAGGAAAAGCTATCAGGAATCACATGCGGCAACAGAACAGGAAGTGAATGGCAGCCTGAAAGAACAAGGAGCAAGGGAAAATAAGCACATAAAATCCAAACAGCCAGATGCTATTGACGAGAAGGTATTTTCAAGAATGGAGAGTCATCCTGTGGGTAATGGCGAGGCTATTATTGGTGGAAATGACCTGGCAAGATGCATGCTTGCTGAAAAATGTAACAAACACAATGGATTAGCAAATAAAGACAACCATAAAGTCAAACACAGAATATTTACATTTAACCAAAGAGACCATGCAATGCAGGAACTGCTCACATCAAAAGTCAAAGCTCACGCTCAGAAAGAAATCATTGCCATCAAGGAAAAGGGCCACGCTAAGCGGGAAGGCATCATTTCTAGTAGGAAAGACTCTAGAGAACGAGTGAATGATGGGCAGCGAATAGCTAACCAAGGGGTAGCTATAGCCAGTGAGAACTGGGATATGAAAGCTGAAACTCCCCCAAGAGAATGTTCTAGAACTGACACGCTGCCAAAGATCAAAGAAAATGAGGCACCGCAAACAGAAGTAAAACAAGGGACACCTGCCAGTCAGGGAAGTCAGGAATGGAACCGTACAGCTCCTTTTGCTAAGAAGGAAGGTGCTGGAAATGCTGGACTTCATGGAAAGAAGAACACGATAAATGACCGACAAGAGTTGTTGCAAACTGGAAACTTACATATTCAGAAAGCATCAAATGATATCAAGGAAACTTACTCAAAACAAGATTTAAAACAAAAACATGACACTTGCATAAGTGAGAAAAAACAAGACCCTGCTGATAAAGAGGTACATGAAAACAGGGTCGGTGACAAACAAGAACTTTTGTCAGTTGACAGTGGGAGAGCTGAAACTGTAGCAGTCAACAGCCAAGCTGAAGTTACCCCTGCAGACAAACAGAAAGACATCACTATCAAGAAGGTTCTGTCATATGGTGAGAAAGGCCACACTCTGAATAAGAATGCCTCGCTTGGGGGAATTCCCAAGGCTTCTCTGGAATTATCTGCAAGGACAACAGAAGAAAGTGATATTCCTCACAAGGACAGACTTACAAATAATAAACAGCCTAAACATGAAGGCCTTCAGTATAAAAACAAAGAGCATACTCAAAATGAAGCTACTATAACTGATAAATATTATCCATCTGATCAGGGCAAATTCCCAACAGAAAACGAGAATCCTGCCGAAGTATGTACACTTCCAAACATAGGGAGTACCAATGAAAAGCCGCATAAGGGTCTATTGAAAGAAAAGGAAAGTGTCAATGAAGGTGACAGAATGGAACTAGGCACAAAAGAAGAATGCAGCACTGTAGTAGCAGCATCAATGCAGAAGGTCCAAGATGGAAAAGAAGACAAGAGTACGGGGACACCAATGAGGAATGTCCAAGATAAAACAGACGACAAGAGTACGGGGACACCAATGAGGAATGTCCAAGATAAAACAGACGACAAGAGTACGGGGACAACAATAAGGAATGTCCAAGATAAAAGAGACGACAAGAGCATGGGGACAACAATAAGGAATGTCCAAGATAAAACAGACGACAAGAGTACGGGGACAACAATGAGGAATGTCCAAGATAAAACAGACGACAAGAGTACGGGGACAACAATGAGGAATGTCCAAGATAAAACAGACGACAAGAGTACGGGGACACCGATGAGGAATATCCAAGATAAAACAGACGACAAGAGTACGGGGACACCGATGAGGAATGTCCAAGTTAAAACAGACGACAAGAGTACGGGGACACCAATGAGGAATATCCAAGATAAAACAGACGACAAGAGTACGGGGACACCAATGAGGAATGTCCAAGATAAAACAGACGACAAGAGTACTGGGACACCAATGAGGAATATCCAAGATAAAACAGACGACAAGAGTACGGGGACACCGATGAGGAATATCCAAGATAAAACAGACGACAAGAGTACGGGGACACCGATGAGGAATATCCAAGATAAAACAGACGACAAGAGTATGGGGACATCGATGAGGAATGTCCAAAGTCGGAAAGAAGTTCTTGGGACAATAGAGAATGAGTTTGTTAAAATTAATGTTTTTGCAATTACAAGAAAAGTTGATACTGAATGGGAAGACCCTTCTTCAAAGCGTAACAATGACAACACAATGCATGAAATCACAGAAAGGGGACAGATGAAAGAGGAAACCGTCACCTATACAGTGGGCTCTGAGAATGCTTCAAGAATTAACAATCAAACAGTCAAAACTGCTGGAGAAGGAAAGGGCCATGTTAAACAGGAATTACCCACTAAACAAAACTGCCCAACATCAGAAGCTATAACTGTAGAAGAATTTTCCAAGCCAGATATAAAAAGACCAATGGAACATGATATACAAGGAGGAAATGCAACAAAAGAAATTACTAAACCAGTGGTTCTCAAAGCAGAAGAACAGTCTAAGATAGTTCCCTTAGTGAAGCATGAACACACATTTCCTGCTATGCTGAGCACAGTATCACCAACATCTGCAGATCATACTCAGCTGGAGACACTAGGGAAAGAAGATTCACCTGCAAGAAAGGATTTACAACCACAAAAGTTCCCCAAAGTACCAACTACAGTAGAAGGCATAGAAGACAGTATGTATGCTAAATCAAGACATGATAAACAAATGGTATTTGAAGAACAGCCTGCAGAACCAGAGATAATTAGAACTATAAAGTCCAGTAAACCTTTTAAACGTCCAGCAACAGAAAACCCTAAATTTGACACAGATAGAATTAAACTTAATATGAGCCCTGAAGTTCTTGCAAAAAAGGAAGATCATGAGAGGAATTTATGTTATACACACAACGACAGTACTGAATTACAGACATTCGCAACAAAGGACCACACGAAAGTGCTAATGTCTGCAGCTGAAGATCATAAATCAGATGGTCACAATCAGGCTCACGCCTTTTCAGCTGAAGAGTATGGAAGAAAGAGTGGAAGAAAAAGCCCTAAATCAGATGTATTTGAAATGAAGGAACTTACTAAATCAGGGAGCCAGGGACATATAACAACATATGATAGTAAACGACCTGCCACAAATGTACAAGAACATAACAAATCAAGTGTACATGTAGAATCAGAGATCACTCAACCAGGTGTATGTGTAAAACCAGAAGACAGTAAGCCAAGTGAACTAGCAACATCAGAACATCCTAAACCAGAGGTACATACAAAAAAAGATACAGCAGTCTTCACAGAACATATTACCTTAGCTGCACATCTAATGAGAGAACATTCTAAACATGTAAAACCTGAAGACAGTAAACCAGTAACAATGGAACATCCTAAACCAGGTGTAGGTTTAAAACCAGAAAACAGTAAACCAGGTATACCAGGATCAAATGAGCATCCTAAACCAGGTGTAGGTGTAAAACCAGAAAACATTAAACCAGATATACCAGTACCAAATGAGCATCCTAAACCAGGTGTACGTTTAAAATCAGAACACAGTAAACCAGGTGTACTGATAACAACAGATCATCCTAAGCCAGATGTAGCAGTAACAACAGAACACCCTAAACCAGTTTTACGTGTAAAATCAGAACACAGTAAAACAGGTATACAAGTTACAGCAGAATACCCTAAACCAGGTGTACCAAGAACAGTAGAACATCAAAAACCAGATATACATGTAAAATCAGAAGACGGCAAACCAGGTTTACCAGTAACAACAGAACCAAGTATATATGTAAAGCCAGGAGATAGTAAACCAAATGTATCTGTTTCAGGAGAACATTCTAAACCAAGTGTCCCAAAAAGAACACAGCATCCTAAACCAGTAACAAAAGAACATACTAAACCAGGTACACCAGTAACAACAGAGCATCCTAAGCCAGGTGTTCCAATAAGAAGAGAACACCCTAATGTAGATATTCCAGTAAAAACAGAGCATCCTAAGCCAGGTGTTCCAATAAGAACAGAACACCCTAAACTAGATATACCAGTAACAACAGAGCATACTAAACCTGGTTTATGTGTAAAATCAGAACACAGTAAACCAGGTTTATTCGTTACAACAGAACACCCTACACCAGGTGTACGTTTAACAGCAGAACATTCTAAGCCAGGTGTTCCTGTAACAACACAACATTCTACACTAGACACACCAGTAACAATAGAACATCTTACACCAGGTTTACGAGTAAAATCAAAACATAGTAAAACAGGTGTAGCAGTTACAACAGAACACCCTAAACCAGTTACACATATAACAGCAGAACAACCTAAACCACGTGTACCAATAACAGAACATTTAAAACCAGATATGCATGTAACACCTGAAGACAGTAAACCAGGTTTACCAGTAACAGCAAAACATCCTAAACTAGCTGTACCAAAAACAACAGAACATCCTAAACCAGATGTACCACTAACAAAAGAGCATCCCACACCAAATGTACCAGTAACAATAGAAAATCTTAAACCAGGTTTGCATGTAAAATCAGAACACAGTAAAACAGTGGTACCAGTAACAAAAGACCATCCTAAACCAGGACTGCCAGTATCAACAGAGCATCCTAAACCAGATGAACCAGCACCAATGGAACATCCTAATCCAGTGTCACGTGCAAAATCAGAAGCCAGTAAATCAAGTGTACCAGTTACAACAGAACATTTTAAACCTTTACGTGTAACAACAGAGCATCCTAAACCAGATGAACCAGTAACAAAAGACCATCTTAAACCAGGGGCAGCAGTAACAACAGATCATCTTAAACCAGTTTTACGTATAAAATCAGAAGGCAGTAAACCAAGTATACCAGTTACAACAGAACATTTTAAATCAGGGGTACCTGTAACAACAGAACATCCCAAACCAGGTATACATGTAACGCGAGAAGACAGTAAAGCAGGTGTACCAGTAATCACTGAACATCCTAAACCAGTCGTATGTGTAAAACAAGAATACAGTAAACCACATGAGCCAGTGACAACAGACCTTAAACCAGGTGCACCAGTACCAAAAGAACATACTAAAAAAGGCATTCCTGTTAAAGCAGAGCAGACCAAACCAGCATTAGAATACACTAAACCAGTTGTGTCTTTATTGAAAGAAGAAGCTTTAACAAATGAACATCCTAAGGCACCTTTGAGAAGAGAACGTCATAAACCAAATGTTCATGTACAAAAAGAACACCATGAACTAGAGCCATTGTGTAAAGAATCCGGAAACCTAGAAATGCTTGTAAAACTAAAAGGTTTTACATCAGATAGAGTTCTAATAAATAATTGTATTATGGAACCTGCTAAATCTGAGGTTCATGCAACCAAAGATTCCGCTGAGGCCAAACCGAAGGACTTTTCGCATCTAGGTAATTCCCACCTAGAAATGAAAAAAGATCCAACCTTGGTGCCTGAAGAAAAAGGCCAAATATCAAAGCATACTTTCCCATCTAAAGAACATACTAAGACAAAAATGGGTGTGCTCACTGACAAAGAAGATCTAAATAAAGTGAGAGACATGCATACATGGATGGAGAGAGACCAGGTCATTTCAATGAAGGAATTAGAATCCAAAGAAGATTTCACTGGAAGACAAGGAAATTCAGGGTCTGACAAGCAACCAATTTATGTTGAAACTCCAAAAAAGCCCTTAAATGAATTATATTTGTCTGTTCAAGAAGCCCAGCAAACTCCGGAACAGAAATTAAAAATACGGAATAGTCCGGGGAACACAGGAATCATACAACAGAGGGAAAACAAAGAGGAGATGGAGGGACTGCAATACTATGCCATTACTAACCATGATACTGAAGTGCAAGCTAAAGGCGCATTGCTCAACTCATCCCAAAAAACTGAGATGGCACTGAGGACGAGGGAAATGGAGAACTCTGGGAGAGTGCTCGATGACGGCAGGTGGACTCACAACACAACGTACCCTGCTCAAGCCCCTGTGCTTTCCCCACTACCTGATACTTCCTCGCCATCTCTGGGGAAGCCCACATTGTTCAAGGTGAAGGACAACACCTTCAAAACATCACCTGTAACCAAAACAGTAAAGCCATATTTCCACAAGACATTTCCAGAAGATCTCCAACTCTCTTCCCCTATCGGTTCTGAGAAGGGAGAGGACTGGCATGATGCCAATTCAGAAGAAACCAAAGTCATCCAACATGCTGTTGGTCTATCAAACCGATTCCAGCAACCGAAGGAGCATTCACCTCGCAGTGCCCTGTTTCCCTCAGATTCTACCGCCACAAAGGAACCACATGGTTATTTCAGGAAGAATCCTGCCCTAGAGGAGGATGAATGCTGCTCGATAGGGAGTGCTTTGTCAGAAGAGAGCTGTGCTGCAGGTACAGCAGATGTGACAAATGACAGGGCTGGAATCCTTGGGGTAACAGAGGGGCCTGAAATCGTGAGAGGTATCAGTGAGAGGCCAGAACCAACCTGCAGTGTCAATGAAGGGAAGACATTCGGCAAACCACCAGTAGTTCCCCTCAAGACAGAGAAGGCCCTCCGTCGTGCCCAGAAGCTAACAACACGAAGAATAAAGAAGGCTGAGGGTAAAGTGAGGCCTGAAGGAACATGGCACCTGGATCAGACCTCCCTTCGCATGGTGTCCAGTGAGCCACCATCCCCTACGGGGCAGCTGCTGTCACAGCATCTTGCACCCAGCCCAAATGCCGCTCCACGGTACTGCATGGATCCTGGCTACGTCCCCTCAGCCCCAAAGCTGGTGGCTCAGCCCTTCCCACTAACCGAAAGGAAGCTCCTCCAGGACCCAAACTCTGGTCAGTACTTTATGGTTGAGGTGCCAGTGCCGGTCAAGACAAAAACCTTTTTTGATCCTGAGACAGGAAAGTACATTCAGCTGTCAGTCCGCCAATCGCCAGAAGGCACCTTGTCGCCAGCATCGTCAGTGGAGTTGTTGACCCCCCCGTATCTTCTGTACCCCGGCTTCCTAACTTTGCCTGTCGCGTCTGTGCCCCCTCTGAGGTCCTCTTCCCAGATGTCTGCGCCAGCCGCCCTGGCAGAGGACCAGGAGATGCTGGAGCTGAACGACCCCTGGGTCCAGAAGGGCTACTGCCCCGAGTTAGGCCAGGACTCACAGATGTACATTGAACCTGTGTACATGCAACATGAGCAGCCTCAGGAGCCAACACTCACTGAGAGCAAGAGCAGCCAGAGAAAACTCAATATTATCTCGATGAGCGAACTGGAGGATTTTGCTGTGGAAAGCACATGACGTCTTGGGACTGAAAACTAAAAGAAATGAATGATGTTACAGTATATATGTATATACACATATCTGAGGCAATATGAATGTATATCAGACTTATTGACACACAAAGATGGAATTATTTCTTAAAATGACTGGCAATAAAATATGCATGCATTCACATGCACTTGGAAAGAAATGTCCTATAATAATATGTAATGTAGATTTATTTTTATTGTTTATTGAAGCTGAAGTTTTAAATGAGTTATTTGACAAAGCAGTGCAATTTATTTAGCTCTGCTTAAAGATACCATTCCATTTCAGATATCCTCAGTCAAGAAGCGATAAATTGTGGGTATATTTGGGTATATTGTGATCTAAGCCCATTCCCTAGGAACTAGGTGTTAGAAGCCCACCTAAAGATGGTTAAACTCCAGAGCATAAGCATTGCAATAAAACTGCATGAAGCTGTTCCGATGGATAGCGTATTAGGATGATAATTTATATGATAGAATTCAAGCACACCTATGGTTTTGAGTCTTAGTAAAGAATGAGTCAGACTGATCATTTTTGTCACACGGGTTATGTTTGAAATTGCGATTCCCGGAGCGTTTCAAACTGTGGAGGTCTGCTTGTGGCAGGTACAAGCCACAGTGCTCCGAAATGCACTGCCGCTGTGCTGTCTGCAGATTTGGGTGAGGAATGTTACTGACATTTACATTCAGAATGCACATAATTGTGTACTTTATATAGCTGTTGAAAACAATTCAGGTATGAAGTTGGTGCTTCAAGCCAAAGGAAGGCTTTGTTCTTGTACCCTTGGTGACCTACATAACCTGAATTAAATCTATTAAAAAATATGGATTGTCTCCATTAAATATGCAAATGGCCAGGACCGTGTGTCTAATGCAGTCAGCAATTGAAATTCCGCCACCTTTGATAACTGCTGCTGCCTTTGTCCTTCAGTTGAAGTCGTAGGTTTTTAGTGGGGATTGAAAATGCAGGCTGAAAAAGTCACTGGTGGTTTTACTTTGAGTTTATTTCTCTGTGAATATTGGTGTTTATTGGTGTTACCTGGATCCTGATCAGAGATCTGGCTGAGATGATTGTTTTGTTGAGTGAAATGCCCCATAGCCTCGATTGATGTGACTGTTCTCTCACCGTGTATATTCTTACTTCTGTATCAAATCCACCTCTGGTACTCATAGGCATAGATGTCTATTGTTTATTGTTTAATTTGCCACACAGTACTTTGTAAGCTCTCATTTGTTTTACTGTATCATCATCTTACCACTTACTTAAACAGATTTAAGCAAATGTAGTCTTTTACAGATGCAGAAGTCATAGAGAGTATGGAGGTTGGGTTTTGACTGAATGCTTTAATGTTCAGGTAAGGTAAATTTGGACTATATAGACAAATTCCAGCAGAATTCTAAGTGCTGGACGTTCCATGTTTGCAATAATGAATTCAGGTTGCACTGAACACAGTCTGAAATATTCTGCTCATGGATGCTAGCATTGAAATGTTTAAATACATCTCCAGGTTGACATTTACAAGGAAGACACTAGGGAATGCATATTTTGACAAGTGGTAATTACTAGTATAAGCTTAATTCTATTTAGACCGAAACAATTACAAAAAGCACAAACAATAAGCTCTTTAACAGCCAGAGCACAATTAATATGCACACAGCTGATCACTAGGCCTAAATGAACTGCGACTGCTGCAATAGTGCAAGACTGGTAGTCTGTTCACTTTTTCATTAATAGCTTGAAGCTGTGAGGTTTCTTTCTGTCGTGTAAAAAGGTGGTTCATATTTTTGATATCCCATATAAAGTGCGTGCCAGCTGAAATGACAGTGACAGAAAATGGGAGATAATATTGGCAACTAATTGTATGCTCTGCTTCTAAGTGCAAGGAACAAGCAAACTTACCAGGGTTCTCACAAAGCATGGGAGGTTAAAGTTGATACTTTATTGATCCCTGTGGGGAAGTTCTCCTTTTGTCTCTCCCCTCTTTCTCTCTGTAGGTAAAAGCAAGGCAACTGTGAAGGGCAGCTACCTGGGGGGGGGGGGTAAGGGCTTTGTTCAATGGGTCACAGACGTGCTTGGGCTAGAACCAGCAACCTTCTGATCACAGGCACAGAGACTTAGCCCACAGAGCCACACAAGGCTCATGCTTAGGGGCTATGTAGAAAGTTTGCTTGACCTGAACCCCATGTGAACTTTTTTGGTGTCGCTTTCAGTAGGAAGAAATCAGTAAAAGCACCAGGGAACAAGTATATCTGCTGCACCATCGAAGTAAACACATGCTTCTTTTGAGCAGAGCAGTTTCAGGCACTGCTGTACAACATATTGCAGTGGAGATTTGGTTGGTGCCCAAGACAGGAGTGTGTAATGGAAACGTCTCCTGACCAAGACTGCTTAAGTGCTGCTAAATCTAGCGAACCCCCACCCCACCCCACCCCACCCAAAAGTAGCGGAGGACGCAGGGGGCGGAGGGGCAACCACCCCTGGGCCCGTCACAGCAGGGGGCCCCCTGGTGTCTTTATGCAATCTGCAAATATCTGGAGCAGTCAAATTGTATATAAAAAGCGTTTGATTTGGATTCTAACAAAAACATGGGATGATGTGTGACACCATATGACTGTATGAAGACTTTATACAAGTATTTATGTTTCTTGGAAAATTCCACGAATGTCTTTGTGAGTGATGGTGAAATTGTATGTGAGGTACTCAACTGTGACTTGTGGTACTAGATGGTCTTTCTTAGATTTGAGTTGGTAAATGGGAGGTGGGGTTGAGTCTCTCAAGGGCTGCCAGTCATGTGAGGTGTATGTGGAGTGGAGAAAAAACTTTTCACTTTACTGTCTAGAAGCATAACAGTCCTATTCTTTCATGCTATTTTCCTTATGAAAGCTTATTTCCTTTCATACAGGTGCATTCTTACCAGCCCATCATCACTATGAATTTAGGTATGAGTGTGAGTCAGCCAGTGTCCCCCTGGAAGGACTCCAGCCTTTAAGTTGGCCATCTAACCACTTTACCTCTGCACAACACTGCCAGTTTGGGAAGCAGGTTGTAAAATCTGTCTGATATACCTTTCTCTGTAGGCATTTGCTGGATTTGAACCCTACACCTCCTGATTAGGCACTTTAGGTGTTTTCACACCTGTACTTTTCAGTCTGGTTAAATAGGACTCTGGTTCGATTTCCCCCTTGCTGCAACGTGTTTGGGCAGGTGTGAAGGATCCTCGCACCCTAGAGAGGAGATGGTCTCGGTCCGGTCCCAAATTAACTCTGGAGCAGTTTGTTTGTGGTGGGAATGTGATTCTAACTTGTTCTGCAAGTTTGAGCTAAACGGTTCAATATCAGCTCCCCTCTTCTGTTCAGTCGCCTGAAGGCAGCCGGTCTTCTTTGTAAAGTCTGAGTCAGTACAGCATTTTCAAGACATGCCTTCCAAGTGAATTCGGCATTCTGCTGCTGCAGTACAGCCTGGTATATTGCCGAGATAATTACTATAGCTATGAATAAACGCCATTTCTGTCTTTGCTCCATGCTAAACTGCATAGAAATATGCAATATTTGTTGGCAAAGAATATCGGGTGTATTTTTAGTAAATGTTAAGTGAGTAACATGCAAATGTAGAAAACCTTAGTGTGCAACAAAAGCTTTTGATTGGTAATGTACATTTACCTACAGCTGGAGCACAATTGACAGACCCTTGAGGGTACAGCCCTAGTGACAAGTAATTGTACCCCCAAAGGTATAAAATTATACCTTTTTTTCTGACAGTGTAGTGGTGTATTTTGGTTTGTTTGGATTTTCTTCTATGTGAAAACAAACTGAACCGAGGGGAAAAGACCACAAGTTTACAAACCCATCAACTGATTCAGACCAAAGCAAACAAACTATAAGGATGCAACACCTTTAGCTGCCTGTCAACTGTGCCACTCTGGCATGGTCAGCCGGTGTTTGACCGCCTTTTTCAGGAGGGATTAAGGGACTTAGCATTTAAAAGCACATTTAATAGGGAATTTCCTTTGGTATAATTAAACCCAGCACTTGCAGGTTAAATGCCTGCACCTGACTAATTGTTCCACAAAACAAATTAAAACATAACCGTTTCAAGATATATTTTCCTTGGGAATAAAGGGACGGGATTTAAAGAGAATGTTTGAGAATTTTCCTTTGCCAAACTCAAATCCTGAAATTGTACATTAAACAGGTAAGACTGTAGGTCTACCAACTGTGCCACTCTGGGAATTAGGGGATTTTAAAAAAAGCATTTATGAGTTATATTAATATATTAAGCACTTGGTACCCTAGCCACCCTGCCAATCTGCCACAGCAGCAGCTTATAGTTTTTTTTTTTCCATATACATTTTATAATGAATTAAAAGCCAGAGAATTAAAAAAACACACTGAATATAGTAATTTCTCTGTCAGATTTGAGCTATAGACTTTCAGACTAAGTACTTGGCACTTTAATCTCTGTGCCACCCTGAAAAAAAAAACACATTTTTTTTATTTAATCATTTTCCCCCTACATGTATTAAATATATATGGACATAATTAAACTTCCAACTCCGTGTTAAGAAGCAGGTACCTTAACCATCATGTCTCTCTATGACCTGTGTGTGGGTGGAGTTTGTTTATTTTGTGGACTGATTCACACTACTGATGTTTCGGTAAAAGCTTGGTATTTTACCTACTGTGTCACGGAGTTTTTTTTCTATGACATTCCTGATGAACAGATTCTACTTAAGCTGTTTGTAATGCTGGTGGATGCTGAAAATTATAGCGAAAAGGAATTACACGTGAGCCTTCTGTACCTGGTTCTGAGCCGCCATCCCCTGGGTGAAACCTAATTATTCCAGACAAGGAGCCGGTTACAGTATAGACTGGGCTCGCACGCTGCCGGAGCTCGCGTCTCCACCTAGCGGTCAAAAATATACACACTCTCTCTGTATCAAAACCCTCTTCATTCATGCCCAACGCCAGTCTCTTAATCCAGAGCAACTGGAGAGCATGGCTCCCCGCCTGGATCTTCTCTAGAGTTTCAGGGAGTTTATTTATGTTACTCCCTCGCACAAAATCTCCCCTTCGGCTTCTGCATAGCATCACTCCCAAGCATGTTTCCATTCATATGATTCAGTCCGACTGCATGAATAATGCCACAAGTATCCACAGAGGTGGCTGCACCTATAACGGACACTTTTTACCACATTTGGTACCTTACCTACTTGGCCACTCCGTCTTATGTTTGATTTCCTCTCTCAGAAGAAATGTACCTAGCGGTCCATGCACTATGAAAATATGTTGGCTCCCAACCATAATGCATAACAGAAGTATCTCATTTAAATAATCTGTCTGCACTTGGGTTCTCAAACCCTCACATGTGTGGGACACCATGGAGCGGATAAAAAACTAAGGAGAGCTAATTTCCAAATATTTATTCGAAATATTCGACCTCTGTGATTGTTTCACCTTAAGCTTGTGGCTGAAAATCTAAGGTTCCTACCAACCAACCTCAATACTGCTTGAAAACTAAATAGTCAGACTCTTCACATCCATACAGAGCAAACGGCCTGTGTACCAAATATGCAGAAATTGAGCCCAGCACCTTGTACCTTGTAATTTCGCTGTAGCACAGACACTAAGGACTGCTTAGATACTATGTATCTGTACATGAAGCCACATCCCACATGTTTCTATCTCACTTACATGGCCAGTCGAAAAGCCTGAAACTGGGTCTGATCTGTATATCCGTCTGTTTGATCATGCATGCCTAAAGGTCACAGTTTTATCAACTGGGCAAAAGACCTTGATAATTATACAGAAATGGAGACATTTCTCTAATGCTGATTGGTAGATTGTATCTGGAGGCATAGCATAGTCAGAGATGGTGGAAATATAATGAAGATACATATACATAATGTTGCACTTCTCATCATTGTATTGTCTTATTAGCTTCTTACTGTGTTTGAAGTTGTGTAGCTCCTGCTCCAGGACTGCTTACACTTACACTTACACCTGGGCATTCAATGGAGACTCAGCCTAGCTGCACTAATGCCCAATCGACTCCTCAGCAGCACGAATGTGTGCAATGTGCTATTTCTCTCACTTGTACGTTGCTTTGGACAAGAGCATCTGCGCATCTGCTAAATGAATTAACTGTAAATGCTAAATGAAGACAAAACTGATTCCAATTGAACTTGATGTCTAATGGTTATGTGTTGCTTTACTCACTGGTCACTTCATTTCAATGTTCTTAAAATAGCTACACTGTATCTGCTCATTCACTTAAATGTTAACTTGTAATGAAGTTACAGTAAGCATAATTTACAAAATTCTAAAAAAAAAAAAAAAAAAGTCTTTCACGGTGACTGAAGGAAAATATCACATTATAAGGTTACCTGTGGCTGGAGATCTCAACCCTCCCGAAGTTCAACCCAAAGTTACATCCTTGAGTTGATTAAATTAAAATCACATTCCATATAAATCAGGTAGGCAGGTCGATTCCATCTGAACAAAGCTTTGATATGGCAGAATTTTGAGTTGTTACAGTGACCCATTGTAGAGCAGCTGAGATTTTAATCTAATGGTGTGTTTCGCCCAGAACTGCACTTTGGGTCCCTCTAGTGGTAAAGAGCAATATATGGTTCTGCTTCATCCTTGGCAATCTTTCCCTATTTTTGCCATTGCATATTCTCCGGGAGACGTGACTAACAGATAAGCCTGATTTCTGTATTATTTTCAAGTAGGTTTATCATTTCAACAGCGCTGCACAAGTGCAGGGAACTTTGGGGAACGGCATTTTAAGTTAAAGGTGATTAAAACATTTATTCAAGTAGCCTAGTTTATGCTCTTTCAGATGACCTTAACACGTGAGAGATTCATAACTTGGTCCAGACATAGAGTATTGACAGTGGTCCGGCCCAATTTCGGATGGGAATCTAAAATGATACGGCGCTGGCTGGCCCCGTGCTGAGTAAGTACCATGTGGTTATTGGGTTGCTTGTAAACATCATTATCCACTGCATTAAAGACTGCTACGTTGGTATAATTTCCGACAGAGATGAGCATGATTGATTGATGTATTGATTACCTTAAATGCAGGAATTACAAAACAGTGACGACTAGAGATGACTTCATGAGAACTTACGCGGGGCATCTGCACATACGACTCTTTTCAAGGGCTTATGCATAACTGCTGTGGCAGACAATATTTCATAATTACAACCAAATGAGGAAAGTCCCATATGCGGCAAAGAATGGAAATCCCACTTGTATTTATGTCTTATTGTTTCTCTTAAAAGAGACGTTCATTTTTTGGCAGCCCTCCAGTTAATTTAATATAAATAATGCCCCTCTAAAATGATTAAAATAGTTAATAAGAACATCGCATTATCAATAACTCCAAATGTACAGTTGCAGCATCGTAACAACATCTTTATGAAATCACAAATTACTGGTCCAATGTGATTTAACCATTATCTCATTTATATTTGGTAGTGGCTAAACTCTTAATTAAAACATTAGTATGCATTAGAACAAACAAACACATTAGCAGAACTCAAATGAAGCTGTCGCAGTGTGTCGAAAGTTTTAATAAGTGAGCGGTTATTATCCAGAATGCCTTTTGATGCAGTTTCAACAGCGACCCGTCTCGCATCGCAGGGAGAAGGTGAGTCTGTGAATAAACTAACTCGATTGATTGGTTTCTGACGGTGATTCAGGCCCCAGGTCTGTAACTCCCGGAGCTGCGTAACCAAAAAAGCCGGTGGGTAGGCTAAGGCTGATATTTCTCAAACGGAGTAACTTTCAGCAACTACAAACCGAAAGGCAGCTACAAACTGACACCATTCTTAAAGTAAATACCATTTTATAAATTTATTATATGGCGCATTCACTGGCATTGATTCAGATATACCACAGTCCTCCGCAAGCAAAATGCATTTAAGACTTTAGTAGTAAGTACCTTTCTTATCAAACGGACGAAGAAATCCGTATAGGCAGCGCAGAGCACCAGAAAAATCACGCAGGACGCCTGACATTATCTCGTATTGTCGAGTCACCCGGACGTTGCATCATAAAATATTAAATCAGTACTTCGTGGTAATACATAATTTCTTATCAATTATTCATGCTAATGTGTGTGTAGTTTACTTAATTGTGTTATTGACGATCAAAAGTAATTTCCTGAAAATCCTCAAGGACAGAAATTTAATCAGCCTAACTACTTTTCACGTACAATCCTTTTAAATATTTTTAATTTGCACAACTATTCCCTTATTTATCTCTCTTTCTGGGAAACATACTGTGAAAGAATAAAATTAAATTAAATACATTCTACATTTCAAGACCTCAGTGGGGGTGCCGTAAGAAACCAACAGCTGTAAATATACATTTGCAAATGACGACTAATTATTTCCTAGTAAAGATAAAAAGTTTAGCTGGGAAAATGCGGGCAATGCGACCAACGAGGGGACCAAGGTTGTTCATAAAAGTAAATAAATAATCAGATCCATTCTGGCAGTTTTACCTCTAGTGAACAGGAAAGGGAATTAATTATTAATTTGAGCCAGATGGCTCAAGCAATGAGCTACAAGAGACATACGTGAATGTCTACTTCTTTAATTTTTTTAAATACATGTCAAAACAAGACAAAAACGTAACCGTATGATGATACAACATGTTATACACAGCTAGCTCGTTGTATGCATTCAACTTTAAAGTATACTTACGAAGCACGGATACAAGGAAATGATCTGACGCAGCCTTCCGCAGATGATATTTCCACGTGCGCATTGTAATTATATGAATATTTTGTAATCTTTGACTTTATAAGCATCGGTATTTTACAACTTGATTCTGAAGTAACGGCATACCAGGGTAGTTTTGAGGTGATCATGACTTCTCCAAATTCTCTGAGCATGCTGCCCAAGACTGAATACAGGCATCCAGTGCAAATCTTTTGTCTTCACTTATACACGGTGTATATTTTTACTTATCAGTAACACTGTTTATTTAATATGATAAGTAACAAAAAAATGTCCTTGAGTCACCCCTCTCCCTAAAAACACAATCAAATACTCCATAAATCAGTAAATACTAGAAACAAATAGATTATGGTATTTGGACAAGATAAAGCTCTCACAAGGGGCAACGTTCATGTCTTTTGTACAGAGAGCCTATTTGCATCAGTGTTCTGACAGCGGCCGCCCTCTAGGGGGCACTCACAAGCTGCACTTCTTCTCAAGTGGGTCCTTGCCTCCGGGCGCCGGCTTATCTTGGGAGCTCGCCTGACTTGGGGCTTTGCTTGTGATGGGTCCAGGGCTGCTCCTGCTTACGCCCACGGCCACACCTGCTGCCGGACCCACACCTGCGCTTTGGCTCGCCCCTAGCAGGTTAGCCGACTGCAGCACAGCCTCGGAGTGTTCCCTCGCCTTCATGCGCAACGCTGCCACACTAGCCGTCCGGTTGCTCTGACAACCATAAGGGGGCAAAAATGACAGGCCCATAGGATCGGGAACACAGCAGGAGCAGAGGGGACCTCCTGGAGACAGGGGGAAAAGCACAGCCACAGGGTGAGGGTATGTACTCCCCAAAACCTACCGTACAATTTCACCAGTCCTACCCAAACTTCAATTATACAGATAATTACTCTCATTTAAATAAAGCGCGTTAAGGTACATCACGGATGCGATACTAATCCGGTAAAACATAATCACCAACCCAAGTCGAAGCCAAAAAGTTCAACGAGATTTGATAACAAGAGCATCGCCTACTGGAGGTAAAGGGGAAAAAACAGTCGCGGAGCGAAAAAAATTTAAATAGCATACGCGTATTATTATTATTGTTATTATTATTATTATTATTAAATGATGAATCTTGGAAAAATACAGGACAACAGCAGCAGCTATACAAAACGAAGCGAAGTCACCTTTTAGAGACGCGACTGTGGATAAGGCCTGGGCGTAAGTGGCCGTGTTGAGGAGGGTCCCGGGCAGACAGGACGGGAAAAATGGGCCACCTGGTCCGACCGTTCTGTTCAGACTTGAATATGAACGAGAAACATGTGTCAGGTATTTTTCCAATAGTATTTTACCAAGTAGCAAATGACGGCTAAAAGCATGACGTACCTTTGCTGAATTTCTAGTTGATCCTTCTTGTTACGGCTCTGGTCAGCGGGGGACGGAGAATTGAGGTTCCTCACGGGAGAAGTCCCTTCGCGCGTCTGTTCCTTGCCCCCTTCCTGCTCGGACGTTCCTCTCTCCGTCTTCCTCCATTTGGCCCTTCGGTTTTGAAACCATACCTGTCGGTTGGTGAAGACAGTGCACAGACATGCAAAGGTATGCTAAAAATGTCTTCATTTTAGTCTTACGACATTTTCTTTCCTTTTTAATCTCAGCCTTGCAAAACAACATCTTGAATATGGCTAAAGTTTAATTTGTTTTCTATTGTTAATTCTCCCCAGTATCGGGCCACCTCACCGTACAAATGGCGACTTATTTAAAACTTCAGCTAACACTAATGCTCTGCATATTCAGGGAAGTTCTTGTATCTTAATTGAATGAAGGTCATTGCCTATAACAACATTTAATTGAGCAATTTTTCATTATCATATTTTAATGACTTCCTACTGACAGTGCCCCTGCTTCTGAGAGAGAACCGTGATGAAGTCGTTTATTTCCCTATTTAGTGATTGTTTGACAACATCAGATTCGATTAAGACTGCGCTCTCTAACGCATTAATCACGTTTGAATGGACGAAGGGCACAATGCGGTCCTATCTCCGCAGGCCCGGCAGTATTGTCCATAGGTACAATAATGTCAGCGGACAAACACAAACATATAGTATTCACTCCGAATAATAAGACAACAGTTTACAGGAAGGGCAACAATATTCGGATTGTAATTGTCACGGCGCTATCTCACCCTTGCACCTTCCAGCTAGAAGTCATGATCTCCTCCGTCTGAATAGTCTGTAATTGCCCCATTAATCTCAATTTGCAGTTTGCTCTTAATGCAGCCAAGGCCAATTGACACTTAAAAGGAAGGTCTACACACTACAACAAAAAGAAAATTTATTTTCTAATAATAATGTAAGTTTAATATCCCTGCATGCTGCGACTGATTCATGTTCAGATTTAATAATACGAATCTGGTAATCCGATTAGAGGGAAATAATTTGTTTACAATCCCTAATTTACAGCAGCGAATTCCATTATCTATGTGCAGTCATTGGTTTTAAGCGATAGTAAGATGACCCTGGGGAAAAAAAGGCAAACTATTATATTTCGTACAATTAGATCTGTGCTCACAACAAAACCCAAAAGCAAATCGTGGAAGCAGGAAATTACATATAGGACACACTGAATTTCATTACATGCGCCTATGTTTGTATAACGGCGAATATTTTGCCGACCAATCTATGAATGGTAAATTGTCAGAAGTAAAGGCACTAAACGTTCGCCAAGCAGAATGCTAATATCGTTCGGCTGGTGTGCGCGCGCGCTCCCGATTGTTGTTCTTGCTTTGATGAGCCAAAGAGATGAATAAATTTACCGCTAAAAATATTTTTCCACTACCTTGCAACGACGAGAAGGCTTTAAGAACGAAAGCTTTTTACCTCTATTTCTGAAGCCCGGAAATGGATTTGTATTAAAGTAATTTTGTACCTTAGAGACGCGGACAAATTAGTGTAGAACATTATCGCTAGTTAATTATGAATGACCGATTAATCAACCTAATCTAATATTCCACATTATGTTGATGTTATTAAAGTGCATCAAGAAAATGACAGAGTGGCTTAATTTACTTTCTTTGGCCAAACGTGCTTTGAACACTTTATGGGGTGTGTGTTCATGAGTCGGCTCACCTGGACACGGGCTTCGGTGAGGTTGATTTTCATTGCCAGCTCTTCTCTCGTGAAGACGTCGGGGTAATGCGTTTGGGCGAAAACCGCTTCGAGGGCTTCTAGCTGAAATAAACAACGCAGCAAATTCATCGGTGTCCAGCCGGTGACGATAACCATTTTAAGTTACACTGTGTACATCGTCATTACTCGTATGGACATTAGAAAAAACAACAACAAAAAAACAAAAACGAACTAACAGACTCGTTTCTTTTGACACTTATCCAAACACTGCGTGGCAAATAAACAAATACATAAATAATTGTCACAATTTAAATAAGTTTAAAACAATTAAAATTAGCTATACAGAAAAAAACTTATAGGCTACAAAAAATACACGTATACATAAATACAGACGAAAAGGATTTTCACAATTTTTCACAAACAGTAAAATCAACAGCACTCATAATTTACTAAACAAAATTGTACTTTCGATTAATATTTATCAATGTCGCATAAAATATACGCTAAGGAACTTGAGTGGCCTACCTGTTGTAAAGTGAACGTAGTCCTGTTTCTGCGTTGTTTCCTTCTGAGAAATCCGTCATCGAAGTCACCGGCTGCGTGGCCTCCGAAGGAGCCGCTGTTTACTGAGGAACACAGTCAGAAAAGACAAGATAATTTTAAGTAATATTTTGACAATTGAGTGACACAACACACACACGCACACGCACACACAAGACACACACTCAAAGCCGGTATTAACGTGCTTATTGTGAAATTCCCTTTCAAAAAATTCGAACCATCATTTAACTATCGTAACATACATTTCGAGACTGATGCGCCTTTTTCGGTGGGGAAAACTTACTCAGGAATATTAGTGATGCATAAGACGATTTTAAAGTGCTGTGTATTAAAATCACTTTAAACTTGGTAGGTGGAGCTCCATGCTTTGTAAATATTTAGATGAGCAACGTTAAACATTAATGCAGACGGTCTGAAGGAGACGACCGTGACCACATTGAGATGTCGATTAGCCATCAAACATCTGTGCCCAGGCAGGCAACAAAACAGCCTGGCGTGGCCCTAGGGCAAACACTAGTGCTCGGCCTAAAGGATGGTGCCAGGTGGAAGAACGACGGTCGTAAAAACAATAAAACGCTTCCAGTAGAATTGTAGTGGAAATATCATAACAAGAAATATACAACGTGCGGTGATAATGTTGCGGTAAAAGGTAAAACTAAACCCTATATTTGTTTGTATATAGGCTATATTCGCGGATATTTTCAAACTAAAATATTTTAAATGAACACGCAATAGTAGCATTTGCAAATTTTTTTAACTTTAAACAACGCCAAGTGGCAAAAATACAAGAATAACGCATTTGCATTCGCCTCGCTAATTTTAAAACCAACTTTAAATATGAAAAACACACAAAAGAAACTATTCACGTTTAATAAACCAATTTGATTAAATTAACTGAATATCATGCATTTTTCTGACAACCCGTTTTTCCGCAACATCGAACGTAGTCTAGTTCAGAGTCAAAATAAATACTTACTAGTATTTGTCCTACAGCATTCCCCATCCAGCTGAGGCGGACAATGAAAGTAAAACATTTTCTAAAGTTTATCTGGATACGGGTGAAGTTCGCAGTCGATCTGAAAAAAAGACGCAATGATGCAAAGAGTTTAGACCTTTCTTTGCCAAATAGGGGTGTATTTTATTTAAGTATGCATTACATATTTTCCGTTCACTGGGAGATTGCACTGTACACAACTGTCTCACTGGATTATTCAGCATTTAATGAATAACTCCGTTTCACAACTGAAGGCCAAAACACCCGCAAAATCAACTGTATGCACGAGAGAGAATTATTCATGCACAAACATAATTGAACATCAGTTACGAAATGTCTGTGACGAGTGGTTCGTGGTTGTCCTTTCCGTTTCAGGTAGAAGTCAAAAACATTATTCAAACACGAAGAAGCGTACCTGATGTAGTTGTTGTCGTGAACCGACGTGCGAGCCCCCTTCTGAGATTGATGGTGCGGTTCCTGCGTGCCTGAGTTACCGGCAGTAACACTCCCTCGGTCATCTGCGTACACTCAGTCTGCCTCTTTCTTTCTCTCTCCTCCCTCTCCCTCTCTCTCTCTCTCTCTCTCTCTCTCTCTCTCTCTCTTTCTCTCTGTCTCTCTCACTAATACACGCACGCTGTCGGGGAAATCAGCCCAGCCCTGGGAATGACCAGATGTCTTTATAAGCGTCTACAGCACGACCAACCTCTCAGCACTTGCCTTTATAATCTCCGGCATAATTGGTCATAATCTTATTATTTCCAGCATTGTCTGCTCTGAGTGACTTGGATAGGCCCGCTGGGTGTTCCAGGGCATCCCACGTGGTGAAAACCGTCAAATCTCCATCGCACCTACCACTTAAAATATGTACCTTTCCTCGCCAATTGCCTTGCGGTATGCGTTGTTATTCCCAAAATCATCCCCAAACACACGCGCCCTTTATCGACAGCCATGCACTTTTTATTCCTTCGCTTTTTGATATTAAAAATCTAGATGACTGGTTCTGGATTTTAAATTGACTGTCAGACCAGTAATTGCACATTAGATGGGTTAGGGGTCCACTTTATACACGGCTTCGCTTGCTGAGTGCTCATACATCCAAATTTTGATTTTGTTCACAGCAAGGGGTCCTTGGATTTATTTCCTCTTTCCCAGTAAATGATATGCAACGGGACCCTTTCAATTACTTTTAAAACTCATCTGGGACGTGGAACACAGACATCGCCGGTTCTCAGCCTTCTGAAAATTAGGCTCTAAGTACCAGCTGAAATTTTGAAGACGAGGGCGGGATTGGATGAAATCACATAAACTGCAAAAAAGCAAGTATAATGGCTCATAATTGGTTCTCTAATAGCATTACACAAGGATAATAGCCTGTTACGGCCCCCTGCACTATTAAGTGCTTCCCTGGCGTAAAACGTTTATGATATTAAGGGGGGAATATAATGATATTTTGGTTATTAAATGCGTGTAATTAATTTATGCACCGCTGAAAATAAAGTTGGTATTATGACCTCGGCGAGATGCGATGGAAAATTGAAATCAAACAACTGTTGATAAGTTTCCTCTATTTTGTGGAGACTTATTTTAATTGAAAATTTGTTTGTTTATTGGTCTTTGTTTTTAGTGAATCGTGTGACGGGAGTGTTCAGCTTCTGTTAATAAGACCATATATCATTGATCCAGTTGGTGTCGACTGATTCTCAGGAGGGAGATTAGGGTCCGGTACTCGCGTTACTGCCTGTCTATTTGACGCATCTTCCGGCTGTGAACCCAAACTCGTCCCAACCACTAAAAAGTAAATTAAAACGATCAAGCTATTTGCGTCGTCGGTGCATCAGTTCGTTTTATTTTGAACTCGGTAAAAGAAAATTAATACTGCTTCAAGTATTTACACCTCGTACAATATCCTCCATTTCGACATACAGCAGTTTGCTGTCTTTAGCTGTACTGAAGAGTACACCTTTTTCCAAGAGCATCCGGACACAATACCAACTGAATTAAGTGTTGTGTCATTACAATTCAGATATGAAAAAGTTATTAATGAAGCCTCATCACAAAGCTCTGCCAGTAATTTAAAAATGCAAAATAATGTCAACATCACAGTTCAGAAAACACTAAAAAATATCAATGAAAAAAGACCAACTCGAGTAAAATGTTAAATATCAGCACCTTGGTCAGCACCACGTGCGAACCTTGTCCTTTTCCGTTTCCGCAGATAATCACTATTCCGCAGATAGTGACGCTTTAAGAAAATATATTAAACAAAGCCCACAATATTATCCTGCATTTACCTGGTACTTTACACGGAAAAGCCACTTACAGCTTTAAGTAAATTACATAAGGTTATACAACTACCATATTCGTACAGGTTTTATGTATATTAAATGTCGTCTACAAAGTGCATGTAGCCTATCATTCCAAGTGTATAAATTCTTCTGTAGTGATATTTCAAGTAGAGTTAAGCCCTTGGCAGTGCGTTTCATTGGAAAAAATACGTATTTAATTTGAACTATATATGGTGATACGGCAATTTTACAAAAACAATTTGACCTTTTAATTTCTTAAGATGGCCTACTTTAATGCATGAGAATGTGTAATAATTAAGTCAACTTCTTCTTATGGAAATTGAGCTGCAATTAGGCCTATGCATTTTTAAACTGCCCGAAAATATCCAAATAGGCCTACCAGTCTATTTCTAAAAAGAAAGTAAATAATTGTCATGTTCTAGCTGCTAGACTAAATATAGGTTGTTCTTTGGCTTAGGTTTAAAAAGAATGCTCTTGTTGGGCATCCGAATTTGTGAATAAGCACGCATCAGTGCTTGCGCGTTTTCAACGGTGATCTTGGTACTAACAATATCGTCGTACTAACAATGACCAGGAGAGGTCGAGCGCCATCCGAAGGGGAAACATCAGCGCTTCACGGTTCATACAGCGCCTGCACGTCTTCACTCTGTACCTGCGGGATCGGTGAAGTCATGCGGGAAAACGGGCGCTCCGCACACACGCGCGGAGAATACGCTACAACAGTTAAAACACCGTTTCAGGTATAAATATGAAGTATAGTTTAATGGATTTATAGTTTTTATTCCAGAAATTAATCTTAAAAAATGGCCAGAGCGATTTTTTTCTTTATGTTATTTCCGGAAATTCAATTAACGAGTTAAAATGTTTAGTTCTTCCTTAATCTATCTTAACGTATTTTCCTATTGAATCATTTCGAACATGGATTTACAGACCTATCTTTTAAAGAGAAACGGGCATATGGACAAGTCAATATTAAAATTACTTTTAAATACTACATTTAGTCTATTGTTAGCCGATGCGTATCAAGATAAACGTCAGAAATGTAGGCTACTGTCGATCAGAAACAACTAGGCCTATTCATTCATTCATGTATGACATTTTCAATGTCTATTTGAACAAAAACGAATTATTACCAGACCTATCTGTTCAACTTAAAAAACACTGTAATAGATTTACGAAGTAAATGACCGTGATAATGAATGAAAACGAAAGACAATGCAATTAATAAATCCACGTTTAAAAGGACACTACTACGATTACTATTAGAACTTAGAAGCAGGTAATAAACAGATATTTGTCATTTGAAAACCAGCTAAAGCAAATTTAGCCTACATATGCCACTCTCCAGAAATCTTTTCTTGAGTACTGCCGAAGCGTTAGTCTTTCCAGTTAAAATCAGAAAATTTCAAGAACACAAAACCTTTAAGAAACAATTTGAGTAAAACCTGAGGAAGAACACCAGCCTTCTATAGATTTCCACATGCCCACATGTGTACGTAGCCGAACTGACAACGAAGCTACTTCCAGTAGTATTGTAACCGTAGTTACTGTGCACATTATTTTTTTGGATTATTTTAATTAAGTGTATGTCACTGATGTATGTTATATTATTATTATGCTTTGCAGTAATTTTATTGAGGTTAATGTATATTTATTTTACATTACAATGTTATGTTGAATGATCAGATTTAATATTAATTTATTTTATTTTATTTATAATCAGTTACAACACTTTATTTTTTCGGTTATATTTACATGTTTTACATTTAGGTTCAGTATGTTCCCTTGGTTAACCGTATTATTACAGTAGTTCCTATCTGCCCTGGTACACAGGGGGACAGGGGAGAGCGGCTGGAAAAGTAGTTGGAAAGTGCTGTTTTGCCGTGTTGGTGATTATTAAACGCAGTTGTGGAAGAAACTGCAGCCCGCTTACTACCCACAGCCCGAGAGGGAGACTGGCACACGCTACTCACTCATCCAGAATCCAGGGTTACAGGATTAATGGATTTGAATATACAAATAAGTAATTGACGATTGCAAAGCACGCAAATATTTCCCAGCCGTTTATGATAAACAGAAAACATTCCGTATTTAAATATACCAACAATCACCACCACATGATCACACCCAAATGCTTCTGAGGATTAGTTTTATCAGATCGAATTAACGCCGGACTATTTTCTGTAACCAAACTCGCAGAACTCAGACGAAAAATAACGATATAGTGCACGTTTGTAGTTAATTAAAAAGCAAATGAGGTTTTGTTTTATATTTTGAAACCTACATCTGATACAGAAATATATGCATATGTCAATGTATAAAGTCAAGATTAACGCAACTCGGTTTACATAAAGTCCAGGTAGAGGATGTGCAATACGTAAATGAGACCACGCCACGAGAGATAATTTTGAACAGTCGTTCAAACCTATTTAGCTGATAGTTTAAGTAATAACTTTGCCCAAATTATTGGAACAAGAGCAAGACGACGCAAAAACATGCCTAATGACTTATGGAAAATGCCCGCAGCACAAGATGGTTCCAGTGCATGATGGCATAGGGCGCCGAAATCATGTGACCTCTCTCCGTACCCAAAGACTCTCAGTGAAAATACCCTAAAAGTCGACCATTATATGGTAAACGTCGGTGTCATACACCAATATTTACGGGATAAGCGCTTGCACAGCAAATCCAGAAGCAGCAGACTTAACTTCCAATCCTTCATCATGAAGGATGACCACGGTTATCTCGATGCTCCTTTAAATTACCGCCAGACTTTTTTTTTTTTTTTGAGGACTGTCTCAAAATTAAAATCACACTTCAGGCGTTAAGTATCAGCAGATCCATAGAAAGGAACTCAATGCAGAAAAACAGAAGTCAAGTCACTCCGTTGTTCCATAGTGCCCTTATTATTTATTTTTAAATCTTAAATAGGCATCTATGAGACTCACAGTTGCATTATATGTAACAGGGTGGAGACGTAAGAGGTAGACTGATCAGTGTCATGACAGGGCTGTCACTCAGATGTATATACAACATGTCTATAAAATTCAAGAAAAACATCAGGAAGGAACTACATTAAGTGTTCATAAGCACGAAAATTAATTTACAATGAACATTCAAGTATATAAAACAGTCTGTGGAATAGTTCTAAGTCAAGTTCACCATGGCTGATATTCCATAATGGAGTTTCATGTTCATCTGCAGTCTAACCTGAGCAAATGGCACATGGGTTTGTGCAGTTTTCATTATGGCATCTACTCGACAACCCTTGATTACTAGCATCAAAGGAACGCTCAAGCAGAGTCCAAACAAACTGTGTTTAGAGCAGCACCAAAGCATACGCAAGCACTGTGCCAACACGGCCAGCACCTTAGCGAAAGTCAACTTTAAGCTTCCAGATGCCCTCTTGGCCAGGGCTGCGGTGGAAATGACAGAGGTTCCGGAGCAACTCCCTGAAGACCGCCGTCTGGGAGGCCGACAGCCTGGGGCTGAAATGGGCCAAGATCTCCTGAGTGCTGGCCTGCCCGTCGACCGGGGCTTGGAAGGCTATGAAGTTCCTCAGCTCCACCAGCAGCTCGTCGTGCTCTGTGGGGACCTGCGTAGCAGCCACGCTGCCTTCATCTTGCTGCTCCTCCTCCTCCTCCAAGCTCTGCGAGAGGCTCAGATGGTTTCTGGCCCTCATCTTGGCCAGCAGGGAGGATGATGAGAGGACTGTGGAAGTGGCATCTTCCTCCAGTTCCTGTCCACTGAAGTGGCTGGGGGGGCGGCCCTTCTTAGCACAGAGCTTCTTTATGACGGCGGCATCCTAACAAAAGGGAGTCAGTCAAAGAGCAGAGCAGGAGGTAAGAGGTCCAGTAGGCAGCTCCCACAACCACCACAAGGGGCAGTACTGCACAGCAGAGCAACAAGGGCACATCCCGTAATGCATCCGCTTTGCTGTCCACCTCATGCATGACACAGAACAACTGACGGCATACCTTGCATTTGTCAGATGAGCGCTCCACAAGAGCATGGCTCTCTGCTAACATGGGATTCTTCCTTTGGCCAAATCTCCTGCTGAAAGAAAGGGGAAGATGTCAAAGCAAAGAAAAGCTTCTTAAAGCATGTAGAATTGGCAAAGGAGCATAATCTGAAGTATAATGACCCCTTCACATTCGCGAGGGGTAGGGGCGGAAGAATGGGAATATTCTCAAATAATAGGTACCCCTAATCTCACCCCATAATAGTCTGGTAGCCTAAAAGATAACACAGATAGTCTATTTATTACCAATTTCTAAACAAACAGTACTGAACTGTACACTTTGCATGTCAACGTCATTACCTATCTAGACCTACAGTATTTATATAATATACAAACCATCTATATTATGCCCCTGTATATACAACGTTAGTACTGATACATTTTGGACTCAAAATTAGCGGCACTGAAAAGATTAAAAGTTACTGTGAGAAACACGAGATTCCACGGGCACAATGACAGCTAACACGTGAGGGAGGCTGGTTACTGGGACAAAGATGCGCGGCATACCCAAGGCAAGACTTTTAATTATAAAGTTATGTTATGCACTTACACTAACAAACCTGTATCATGTATACATTACGTGATGTCATGTGATCCAAATCATTTTCAGTGTAGTTTTTGGCTTACATGTCTGAATTTCTACTGTGTTTCAGGAAGCTCCGAAAATATTCTTGTTCAACTGTTAATGGGCAATTCGCGAATAACCAAAACCGCGAATGTGAAACGTGCAGCTGTGAAGGGTTTGCCATACTGCCTTTAACATCTTTGCTTGGTCTGATCCAGCCTAAGCAGAGTGGACACTTTCTGATGGCCGAAGGCACAGCGTGAAAACAGGCAGGACAATCTCAGATGGCCCCTGCTTTTCAACACAACGCTACTCAGAATTTGCAGCTGTGAACAGTTGGCTGATTTAATGGTTTGTAGGTAATGGTTAGCAGACTATAAACATAACTGAAGTTTGTTCTGCTACTGCAGATGCATCCCAAGGCTTACTAGGAAGTATTCAATATTTAATCTGAAATCAAACTGGCAACCATTGCTGGGGTTTCCAGGCTCCTGTTTCGGTGCATGACGTTAAGTAGCTTAAAATGCTTTTATAAAGCACACGCACAATGGCTGCTCAGGGGCTCCTTCAATCACTTGTGACAATCGTAGGCCTGTTCTTGATTTTCTATCCAGTACAAAACACAGGTTTAATAAAAAATCCCCTGAGACAAGTGCCGGCCAGCACAGTGCATCAGCAGGGCCGCACCTGGAAGGAGGTGGCGCTCCCGGTGGACAGCTGCCGCCATCGCGTGCAGGGCCACGTGCGAAGGGCAGCCTGCAGTGCTGGCGAGACACCTTAAGGGCCCTGAGGGCATCCTTTGCCACGCGCTCAGCCTCTGCCTCCACGAGGATGTAGTCGGGGTTAGAGGCCTCCATGATCGTGTCGTGCTTCATCACACTGTGGATGCCTGGGAAAGGTTGGGAAAAAAGTGCACAATGAACAAAGCTGCTTCTGTGAAGAAATGGACCCAATCCACCCCATCTTTCCTGACTGGATTTCAAATAAAAGATTCACACAAACAACTGGCAAATGATATCGTGCCTTAAGTTTCTTTCACTGGCTATGATGTCAGGAGGTATCTCATTTATTATTATTTTTATTTACTTTTACCTGACTTCTTGAACAGTTTGGCCAAGACGTAGTCGTCGCTCTTCCTCTGGTCATCTTTGCTCCGCCCACCCTCCTCGTCATCATCATTGCTGGCTTTCTTGAATCGCCGCTTCTTCACTAGGTGCGGGATGCGCTGTCCTTCAAAGCGGGCGTCCCTGTGTTTGGCGACCCGGCCCTTGGATTCGCAGTGCTTCCGTTTCTCCCTCTGTTTCTGAGGGAGGTTCTGGGGGTTGCCGGCGACCCCCACACTCCCCTCGCCCTCGGGGCTGGCACCGCAGCCGTTGGGCACCATCGATCCGCTCGCGTCTCGGAAAGCGGTCACACCGCTTCTTGACACATCCGGCGGGAGGTCCTTCGGGTCTATGGTCCCATTCTGACACCTCGGGCTCAACTGCGGAGGCGTTCTCCTCTTAGTGGGCTTCTTAGGCACCTGGACGTCGGAACCGGTACCTGGCAGCATTTTACAAAACGGGGGTGACGATGCTATCAGGTGTACAGAGCAAAACATCTCCTTTAGCTGACCCAAGTAAATCTAAACGCGCGAGTGTCAGAACAAGGATAAAAGAGGGGCTGACAGCTTTGGTACGGGCCGCGTTTAATTTCCCATTCAGAAGCGTAATTGGCTCGGTTTGTAAATTACCTGAAAATATGGCGCTTGTTTCTGTTCCCTGCGAGCCGTCGGGGTCGCTCAGCGTGAACAGCTCGTAAATGTCATTGGACTTGAAGAAGCGTCGCTGCTTGGGGTCTTTAAGCACTCGATTTGTGAGGAACTGCTTGAAGATCTGTCTGAGGGGACGGGCAGAGTTACGATGAGGGGGCTGCCTCGCTGATCGGCCCGGCCCACGTCCCGCATCATAATGGCCAGAAATACTGCCCGGCCCGCCCATGATCCACCATGAAATGTTACCCCACAGAACGTTTTCACAGCGGGAAAACTTATTCCAGGTTATAAGTAAGAAATGAATTACTCATTCAGCCTGTAAACAACCCATCGCGGCGCCATCTTTGGGAATTCCTGGCGCTGTTAAGATTGAATAACGCGACAGGTTACGGCCGCCTTACAATGACCTATATTCCCCTTAGTGCCTGACGCGCAATAAGCATTCATGCCTGCAAGCGTTGAGGCAATATGACCGACTTAGCAAGCCAATTAAGAAACGATGCTGCCAAGAGGCGTGTGCAGAACATAAAAGGGGAATTGCAGAAGGTCACATGACTCAGACAGCAACACCCAGCCCCACTGCGGCTTTCTGCACACGGCAAAACACACACCACCACCACCCCAAGTTCGAGCTTCTTGCCTGAAGGCCTCAAACAGCAGCAGCACTAACCTGTGGTAGATCTTCTCCTCTATGGTCCCGGCGGTTAGCAGCCTGTACACAGTCACCTGCAGCTTCTGACCGATTCTCCAGGCACGTTCCCGAGCCTAAAAGGGTCCATTAAGATGAACACAAGCAGATGAGACTTCATAAAGCAGCCCGGGTGAGAGGTTCCTCATGCCGCACAGGCTCACCTGAGTGTCCGTGCTGGGGTTCCAGTCCGGGTCGTAGATGATGACCCTGTTGGCACCGGTCAAGTTCACACCCAGGCCGCCAACTCTGGTGGTCAGCAGGAAGAGGAAAATGGACGCGTCCTGCAGAAGAGGAACCTTGATGAGATACATGAAGATAGAGGGACAGGATGACCGGAGACGAACACAGCAGAGCGGACCTCGTTGAACTGAGCGATCAGAGGCTGTCTCGAGGCTATGCTGGTGGTGCCGTCCATTTTGAGGTAAGTGTATCCTTTTTCTCTCACGAACACCTCCAGGATCTCCAGCATCTGTTGAAAGGAAGAGTTGGGACACCCTGAGAAGAGACTTAGGCTAATAGGATTAAAGGGGATTAATAGTACATATACAGAAGTGCTAATCCTGCGGGCTGTGAACTTATTTACCCTGAACGGGGGCAGCTGGAGCTAGACGGCTCCCTAAAAATGCAGTAAGTGTAGGGGATGCGTTCGTTTCTTAGGTGGCTGAGTGGCTTCCTGATGAGTGTCAAATGCCCCCACCCAGCCTAATTCCACACACGCTCCACACAAAGGAAAAGCTCATCGAGGCACATTCGTCCTCATATCAGTTGCATCTCATTTCCACCGATACGACCATCGCATGTCGCTCTATGCTTGGATCTCCTTCTGACTGCCTATTTCTTCAAAATTCATGACTGAAATCGGGTCTGTTGGGTTCTGTTGTCTCTCATGACAAAATATCTCAGCTCACCAACACTCAGTTGTGAGGAAAATGCTATCATGTACCCCGCTACTATAAACAGGGATGAACAGTGAAAAAACTCTTAAGTGGTCTGTGTGTCAGCGTAGGTACCGTGTTCTGCTTTTGTATGGCAGTACAGCTCTCTCTTCGCCTCTCTCACATGCACACACACGCTTACACGCACGCGCTTACACGCACGCGCTTACACGCACGCGCTTACACGCACGCGCTTACACGCACGCGCTTACACGCACGCACACACCCCTACCTGTCTGGACTGTGTAAAGAGCAGCACCCGGTGGCCCTGCTTGAACCATAGCCGTAGTAAGGACTCCACCACGATCAGCTTTCCAGACCTCCTCCAGTAGCCGAAACGCTCCTCCTCGGTGAGCTGCTCCTCCGGGATCCCGCGCAGCATCTTGGGGCCGCCTGAGAACAGGTCCGGGTGGTTGCAGATCTTCCTGAGGGCGATCAGGCCTGAGAAGACCTGAGCGGGGTCCGGACAGCCACACGCACACAAACATTCACACGCCACAGAAACAGAACCAAGTCACGGCTCAGAAAAAGCCTCCTTAACAAAAATTCCATTGCATTAATAAGGCTGATTAATTAAAAACTGCCTTCAATAAAACAAAGTGATGTTTGCGTCTGTTGTTGCCGTTTTCCCGGCCCTGACCTGGCAGTGGACAGCCCATTAAAAATGCAGCTTAATGGACTGTACAGGCCCATTAGAGGTTTGTAAACACACAGCCATCCTCTGTGACCCCTGCACCAAAAGCATCCTGGGACAGGGTGATGAATCGCTCTTTTGCTGGCCCCCTACTGCAGCGGCTGAGTCTCTCATGGAAAACCCGGCTACTGTGGGCAGAGACGGGTCACCAGGCGAATAAATCCACCCCCCCGGACCCGGCTTTACTGTAATTCTTTGGGCAGCCAGAGAACAGTCCAGGCCAATCTGACCTTTACTATAAAATGGACCCCTTTTTCGTCCCCCACAAAGTCATGCAAATTGTGTTCACCTGCATCTCTCCGTTCAGGATCTGATACACCTCTCGGGAATCTAAAAAATTCTGATAGACTTGACGCTGCTCTCCAGATAATCGGCAAAAGAGAACCTACAATAGCAATAAAAAAAAATCCCATTCAGGTTAATACACGACTCACAATGTACTGAAATGTAGCAGCCTGTGAGAGTTGCTCTTCAGCAGAATATAAAACAGAAGGTCTTCCACACGTCACAAAGCACAGAGCAAAGGCGAGATCTCCAAGCCGAACCCAGCAGGACGTGGTGCGTCTGCACGCCGCCTCGGTTACATACGGCCTCGAGGCTCCGCCGCGTACACGCTCGCTCCCCCAGCCACCTGTACCTGCTCGTTTTTGTCAGGCAGAGAGAGGTTGGTCTTCACGTCGGCCTTCATCCTCCGAAGCAGGTACGGGTTGATGGTGTCGCGCAGCACGCACGCACACTTGTAGGCCGTCTGCACCTGTCGAGGGACCGCGGGGGAGCGATTTACTCTGGAGCAGCTTCCGGGAGCGTGCTGGAGCAGGAGCGCCATCTTGGATTACATAACCAAAGCCACCTGCTCTGAAGTGCCCAAGGCTTTGGTGGTGCTTTACCTTTCCCCTCCTTTTTCGGCAGATTGGCGCATTAAAGATTCATGGAGTTGCCGCCCGTCCTGAGGGAGGGGCCCCTCTTACCGAAAACACCACCCTAATCCACCAGCAGACCCTGCACCATTTGCCAATGATTCGAGGTGGGTGGGGGCCGGGGGTGGGGGTTAGAGATCAAAGGGAACCTTGAAGGGGATACAATAAGTGGGGATTACAGCCCACTTGAGACAACAAAAGGCAGAGGGGCAGCCCCCCCCCGGCAGCAGGGGGAGGTGGGACACAGCCAGGCCCAGATAACATATGCTACAGTAATGGGTCATATGTACGTTAACCGCCACCTCGTCACGAGGGCCCCATGATTGGGGTTCGACTAAATTAATCAGACATCTAATGGGAGCAGTCAGACTCCAGGGGCCTGCTGGGGCAGGACGCTTTTGCCCGTGCATCGCTACTCGCACCCTGTGTATTTACACCGACACGGGGGGGAGCTTGTGAGGAGCAGCGGCTCTCAGAAGGGGCCCCGATGCTGTCATCGGCAACCATTTAATAACATTAATAATTTGTAAAGGTTTTTATTATTGGCGGAGGAAACATCGATAGACCTTTAAAGGAAGTTAAGCGCATAAATCCATACGGTCGGTGTATTATTAACGAGGGGATGCAGATAAAGCTGCCCGCCCCCGCCCAACACGCCCCACCCCCAAACACTGATGACGGGTCTTCATCTCCCCGGGCGGGACTAGGCCCCGAGGCGCAGTCAGCTCCTTCCTGCCTGCACGCCACCCGTCTGTCACGGGCCATTACTATCCGTCGGGGACCCGCTCAGGGTCACGTGCTGGCAGCAGTAGGCCGGGCGGCGTCCTACCTGCACGGGGGAGGCGTTGGAGTAGCCTCCCATGGTGATGGGCACAGAGAACTGCTCCATGAAGGTGGGGAGGGTTCCCAGCTTTCCCGGGAAGGTGAAGTCAAAGAGAGACCAAAGCTCCCTTAGGTTGTTCTGCATGGGCGAGCCGGATAGGATGATGCGGTGAGGCGTTCGGAACTGTGGGGGGGGGGATGGATGGCCCTGGTCAGGAGAGTGCGACACACGCTCTACCGGGGTGATCATCACTTACTGCCTGCTCAGAGAGCCCCTTCGATCTCTGCGCATGGGGGCCTTCCAACACCCAGGTTGATTTATGCACCGGCCCACTAAGACAATTAGCACATGATAAAAAGATCAGGTCTGATCCGATCGATAGCCTTTCAGTGAAGGAAACACGGTGCCGCCTTTGCGAAGATATCTACACGGTAACAGCGTTAACCACCAGCGTGTCAGGGCTGGTTAGTTATCACGCCACACACACAGATACGACTCACACACGTGTGGTCGCACCTGCTTGCAGGCAACCGTGACCCCAGCGTGAGGGTTGCGGATCTTGTGACCCTCGTCCAGAATGATGTAGTGCCAGTCGTACTTCTGGATGTAGTCCTGCATGATGCGCACGTAGGAGTAGGAGGTAATCAGGACGCCGTTGCTGGCCGCGATCTCCGGGATGAGCTTCTCCTGACGGGGGGAAGAGGGCGCGGGCCGGCGTTAGTGATGGCTGGCCAAGCGGTCTCACTCCCGTCACACACGTGTGACTGAATAATAATCACGACCAGCTAGGCAGGCCGATTGCTCGCTAGCCAGCTGCTAAAACCATCCTGGAATTCCCCGCCAGATGGCCCCATCACCACTGCAGGACATGCTACCTGGTTTGTTGCTGTCATGTGACAGCTCTGACATCACCACTCTAGGCTGAGAAGTGAACGCGTGCTGCACAGGGTCAAACCTCGACACAGCAACATTTCCTTAGAGATAGAGCCGGTTTTTCTGTGCGAGCGTCTTCCTCCTAATTAATTAAAAGCACATCACTGCGAACGATCCAACACCCTTCGGGAGGTGAACCATACTTCAGCCCCGTGTGATTAATGGCCTTGCAGGAAAAAGGACAGCTCAGTTTATTTGGATGTGAGGAAAACATACGTCTCCATAAACGGTTCTGAAAGAGATTCGTTACTTTTAGCCTGTAATTGAATTCAATCCGTTTAATTAAGTAAACATCCAGATGATCAGCAAAACGCCCTACCCATAAGGCCAGAGCGGGAGAAAAGGTACACGCCACATGGCATCTGTATCGATCGGTACTAGTGACAGGGTCATTAATAGCGGAATAAATTTAATTTAGAGGTGTGAAGCGGTAAAGCAGGGCGCTTGAGGTGGACCAGTCAGGTCTTAACGAAGGCTTCAAACAAGAGCTAACGAGCGCCGCGCAGGAAGACGGGTCCTCACCTTCTTATTGGTGAAGGAGCCAGTTTCATGAAGAACGGCCACTCGGAACGGCGGCCACCAGCTGTGGAACTCCTTCACCCACTGGTGCATGACAGTGGCTGGACACACGATGACTGTGGGCCCCAGGCCGGCGTACCTGTACGGGGGGGGGGCCAAATGATGAGCACATGGGTCGAGTGGCAAACACACCCACTGCTTCTCATTACATCAAGCTCTGACCAATAAAAATGCTCATGGACGACAACAAGGACGTAAATCAAAGGGAGGGAGAGGCACGCAGAAGCTGACACATTAGCGGCACGATGCACTTTCCTGCACGAGATGAATGGACAGGATACGACTGCGAGCGCATTACGGCCCATCTAAAATTCCAGACTGCCATCGAGCCCTAATCGAGTTTGCAAACAATCAATTTGTGGAGAGTCGATGCTACATGCAGTATTGACCCCTGCAAACTCTGCCCGGCACGTCGGCAGAACACAGGCGCTGCCTCCAACATCTTTAATTACGCGTTTCAGGTTTAATTTCCCCAACCCTGCAGTCTCCGCCCATCACGCTCTTGTTTTCCTCTGATGTCTCCGCTAAAAGAATTAAAGGAATATCATAATTGAAATGCCATTAATAATTTATGCCGCCCCCTCTCTCCATCGGCAATCCAGCTGCTGAAATATTAATGGTGCTCGAGACTGTCAGTCTGGGGGGAGGGCGGGGGCTTGCCTGTAATTCGAGCCGCGGGTCCTGATCTTGCTGTAGCTCAGGCCTGCCAGGAAGGCGATGATCTGAATGGTCTTCCCAAGCCCCATCTCATCTCCCAGAATGCCTCCCGCCTGCTGGCAGTGCAGTTCCCAGAGCCAGCGGACCCCGGTCTGCTGGTACCTGGGGATACAGCCGCACCCAGCGGGTCGATTCAAGCCAGCGACAGCAGACAGCATCCCCGGCTTTGGCTAATCACACCCAGCAGGACCCAGAAGTCTGAACTCTGCCTCTACGCCATCAATCAGCCTGTTCTCTAATTCCTTCCTGTTCAATAAGACAGCGTTTCCTAACAGGGAACCGCAAAGTGGCACCTCACTTGAACAGCTTCTTCCAGAGGAACCCGGGCACCTTAAAGCCCTCGTCAAACTCAGCGTCTGTGTCTTCGGACTCGTCCTCCCCCCGCTGCCGCTTCTGCTCCTTCTCCTTGAGCCGGTCACGCTTCCACCTCCTGCAGAAGAGAAGCACGGTGCAGTTAAGCCGAGATCCTCAGCACCCAGACACCTACAGCCATGCTTATCAAGAGTATAAACGGGCACAGACCGGTCAGTCGTCACGGGGACGATTTGGCCCCCCGTATCCCTACAGATTGCCAGGGCCCCCAACCCTGCGCCCTTGCGCTGCATTAGCCAGCCTACAAGGCGGTGGTTAATTGATCCGCCCCGACTGCAGAGATATGCCGGTTAGTGGCAGCGTCGTCAGGAAGCAAATTAAGATTGATACAGACAATTAAGCATTTGAGCTCCCCATGAAAGGTGTGAGAGGGAGAGGGAAAAAATCCATCTTCATTGAGTCCGGGGCCTGTCACTCGACAATGAAACCATTCCCTTTATTTCGGTGCCCAGACTATATTTGTAATTAAGTCAGGACTAAGCTTCAGTTCAGTTAATTACATTTTTTTTTGCCTCTACCCCCCGCTTCGTCATACCAATAAGACGCAGAAACACGTTGTTTAATTTTACATCGCTTCCTAGAGCCGCACAAGGAAACGTGCCAATGTCATTTAGTTTCTATAAATATGAATATTCAATTCTGGGGCAAGCAGTAATTTTGGTTTTCACTTAGGCATTAACGAACAAGACGCTGTAATAAAAATTCAGGCGCCCAACAATCCACTAGGTTAAGGCACAGCTGTCTATCACGGGATTATGGCCGGCTGGCAGGAGGGGGCGCTGCTGGGCCCAGCTGAGCATGAGACCACGGTCTCTCAAACTTACCTTATCCTCTGCTTGTACACGTCTATATCGCCATCATCCTTACACTTCGTCACGCCACCCTTCTTCGATACCTCCTCTTCCTCTGAGCTGCTGGGGTAGTCTTCTTCATTCACAGGGACCTTCCTGGGCCTCCTGGCCTTCTTCTCAGCCTTCCCCACATAGGGCTTCAGTTCGTACTCCTCATCCCCATCAACCCTGAACTCGTCGCGGTCCGGCTCATCTGGGTCCATGAGCTCGTCGCTGGGCACGTACTCTGAACCTTCGCTATCGGAGTCCCGGGGTCCCTTTTTTTTCGAGGGGAGGTGTTCCCATTCCTTGCTGGCCTTGGTTTTATGGTGCGCCCGCAGTGCATTCCTCTGCAGCTTCCGCATGCGCTTCTGCAGCTTCCGGTCCCTCACTGATGTGCGGCCATCCCCCGCAGTGTCGTTACCGGGGTGACGGGATTCTCTCTTCTTGACCGCCGGCTTCTTCCTGTTGATGGCCATCAGGGCCTGGTCAGCCAGGTAGCGGTCAAACCCCGAGCCCTCGCTGAGCATCACCTTCCTGGGCTCCTTCTTCTCGGGCCGCTGCGGCACACGGGTACCGAAGGGTGTCATCTGACCCGTGCGGATCAGCTCCTCCCACTCCGTCTCCTGCACAGGCATCAGCATGCTGCCCAGTGAGGACGGGCCCGGTTCTGACAATGGGAGAGAGGGAAAACTGCAGGCTTGGTGACAAAAACATGCATTTAATTACATTAAAACTGCCCATGATCCCAAACCTAGACCATTTCCACACATGAACTCCGGATATCATCCAGAGAATCAGGTCCGGACATTTTCCAGAGTTGCCCATTTACATATGTGGCGCACAACCGGAGACTGTCCATGTCAGACATGTTCAAACCTGCTAGAAACACCCTGGATGGGGCTGATGAGGGGTGGTGTTTGGGTAGGGCATGCAGGAGGCAGGGAATGATGCAAAGAGTGCACCAGGCTTAAGCTGACCTGTGGGCCCACGTTTCACGGCCTTACTGATGAGCAGATGTACTTGCTAACACCATTACCAGCCTCACCTTCATCTCCTTCAACCAGCAGCTCAGCCTCCATCCTCTGAACATCATCTCCTCCCAGGATGGCTTGTAGTCGTTTCTGCTTGGCTCTTATCTTCTTCAGCTGATTCTCCTGCCATGTGTATTTGAGGAGTTCAGACAGAAACCTTTACTGAACACCACACACCCAAGCTGTGCACATTCAAGCACTAAAACTACAAGTATTGACCAATCAGAAGTCACTACGTGCGCCCCCTTGTGGCACCGCCCAGCATGGCTGAGAGAGACACCAGATCACCTTGTTCTCCTTCTGCCGTTTAACAGACTCCATCCTCCTGCTGATGTCTTTGCTGGAGGCTGCATGGGGGGTCAGCTGCTCGATGATCTTATTGATGTGTTTCAACGCAATGGTGCAGGACCTGAGCAGACGAGTTCAGTTGTTCAGTAATGAGCCCTAAAGCACTATGGCAACACATCCACACCATGCTGACAATCAGCATAAGCCAAATGAAGCATCTCAAGATTCTGTACAACTCTAACCACCACAATGCACATGCAGGCTGGGTCGGAACTTGTACCGCAGGTCGTCCAGGACGCTCTCGTACTCCTTCTGGGCCTCTGCTCGTGCTGCAGCCTGGCTGGCCTGCTGGATGGCCCGGTCCACCTGCTGCAGAACGCCCTGCTCCAGCACGTCCTGGTCATACACATCCACGCCCAGCCCCTGAAGCTCGGCATCCTGTGCCCCTTGAGAAACAGCCTGGATCTGCTGCCGGTCAATATGGACCAAGGTTCGTGGCCGTGCCTGCAGCTCCGGCTCCGAGGTGGCCAGCCAGTCAGGGCCAACAACCCGTCCTCCAGGTCCATGTTCATCCCCCGTCTCTGTCCCTCTGGCGTTAGCAGAGCATCCAGGGCTCGCCAGCACCGGGAGGTCTTGGCCCTCACTACCATCTGCTGGCATTTCGGTGTTACTGCACAGTAAAAAAGTAATCATTCTACATCCACTCATCTTAGTGTAAATCAAGTGTTTAATACATTTCGAGACAAGAACCCTTCAGATGAACAAATAAATAACAAATAAATAGACCAATTAAACCAATTATGACATTCAGGCCATTTTTAAAGAACGGAAAAAAATTATCAAAAACTGAACATGAAACATTTTTAGAGGAAGTATTTCATTAACGTGCGCACAAATAATTTATCCGAAACAAACTTGAAAAACCAGCTTTGAGCCAGTGACAACTACAAAAAGACAAGCATTAAATACAGTCAGATAACCGACACACGATGCGTCTCACCAACCTACTACAGGTATTTGGTAAGCTTTTATTAGACAGTGATTCCGCATCCTGCGCTGACACACATCTCCCTGTTCCAGACCAGTCACTGCACTCTGTCATTGTTATTCAACAGGGAAACGACATTTCGCCAGCTTGTCTACTTTGATACTTTCAAGCCCATGACAGGAGACTGAATTCAGCCAAGGAAAGCCACAGTTTTATTGTCTTACACCTTTCTCTGTCACAGCAGCACGCTAACCATGACTGGCCGACTAGTGAACTCTAGACCAAATTAATACAGCCACTATTAATATACAAAGTTAGATTCGCATAACAAAATGCGTCTCGCCCTTTGATACTTACAATATCTTGATCTGTTACAAAAGCATGTTCATTAGCATATTACACCGCCAGTCCGTTTCCGGAACAGAACTACAATGAAAGACGTGTTGAAGCTTCCGTTAGGGCTGCCCAAAATCCGAGCGCGCCCCCACGCGGTGAGGAGGGTTGCAGCATTCTGTGCATATTTTATATTTACTGTCCCATTCAGCAGTGTCACTAAGCCTTCACGTACCCATTTTGCTCAGGACCTAAGCCTTAGGTAAAAAAGCCACTCATATAATCCAGAATTCTCAGATCTTTCATCTGCATTTTTCAGACTTGCAGATCTATAATACACTACTAGAAATTACTAGTAGTCCCACGGCTACACTACGCTTTATTTTCAATGCCTTCAAGTTAAATATAATTTTGTAAGATATACTGTTCACTATTAATGTCGTGTCCCTGTGCTTGGCTTCTGTATTTCTCAATTTTAATACGGCAACCGTCAAATTTGGAAATAATAATTAGCATTTTGTAAAGTGAACCATAGATGGCGCGCACAGTCTGAAAATTGGCTATTGACCGCATTTTCCCGAGCATTAGATTTACTTGCACAGCAGGATGAGCATTTAATGAATGGATGTACTCCGTCCGTCAAACTCGGCAGTACACAACTAGCTGGTCTGCTGGGATTTTACGAGGCAGCCATCTGGCCATTGGTATAAAGCTTTAATCTGTGAAGTCACCGATAAACTGAAAAATAACACGCAATACATGCATATATATTTGCAGCATGAGACAATGTTAGATTAAACCAACGTTTAAATATTTCATGAAGCGCGTTCGCTTAAGAAGAACAATCTTTGGCACCTTCTGTCTGGGCATGAAAAAAGCTTTACAATGGGAGTACACAAATCCTAGCTGCGTATTCTCAAAGTAACATAATGCAAAATGTGGGCATGATCAGTTTAATAACCGCATTTCATATAGTGTAGAGCTTTTATGAGACAGGAAAATCTACACAAGTCTGCAAAGCATTAAGGGTATGGATGTAGCTTAAAATTCCTGTTAAAAATGATTTTAATCGGACTGTCCATCTGGGTAATCAAACTGTCTATGTAGCTGGCGACGATCCTTCCTCTTTCTCGGAAATAATGTTGTATTTTGGGACTACGGCGTGTTTTGTTTGTTTTTGCCTCCTATCTGACGGTCAGGCTTGGAAACCTCCCGCCCGAGAAGGGGCACCGTGCTGCCGCTGTCAGATGGAGTGCGTAGTACGGGGGTGGGGAGCCTGGCGGAGGGTGGGGAAGACGGGAAAAGGGGTCACAGGCTGCCTGAGGTCCAGTAAAATAAAATGAGAAGGGCGACCTTAATAATGGAAGTCATTACCCCTCACATCGCAGGCCGATAGGGCATGTAACGATGGGAAAGTGCCACAACTACAATGTAACTGTAGAGGCCAATTGTTATTTTTACAACATGCTGGGGGTGGGCTTGTCTTTAAATCGTTTACGCGAAATAAAGTAGTATTAACTTACTATTTAAATTACATTTCTGATGTTTTTATTGACTTTACTTCATCTTTGGAGCCCTTCGGTCGTTATTTAATAACTGGCAAAACTGTAGGTTTAGATCGGATTAAACGGTTAATATGGAAGTACCAGGATCAACTGAAGTAGGTCCGACCGGCAGATGTTTCTGCGAGGAAAAACTAAACAGTTAGAGTTTCTGAGGCTCCCCGCTAATTTAACCCAAACTGCGCTCCTTTGCGCACCTGTGAAATCGTTCAAATAATATCCCTTTGTCACCTTACCCACTTTTACTAGCTCGTTTCTTCAATTTGACTGAGTTATGTTGATGTTAAATACAAAAGACTGCCCCGAATATGAACCAGTAAAATTACCTGCAGATTTACAGTAAAATGTACAAACATGTGGGAGAATATAATTATTTAGAGGGCACGCACACTTTAATGGAGTCCTGTTTCACTCACTCCACATGACCTGTTTGGTACCATAGCATTAACTTTTCGGGATGATAACAAAGAAGGGGGAAACGTTACCCTCAATATTTAATTTTGCTTCATGCATTCAGCCCCCCTACAAATGGACCTTTGCTTCTATATTATTATGTTGTGTCCCATCAATATCAAACGCTCTTTTATGCCAGTGGTTGAGGTTGGGTCATTATTTCTCATTATAAAGTACATGTAATTTTATAAAAGGATACACTATTCTTCTGAACCACCCAATTTGCCTTTGGACCTCTTGACCTCAAACCACCCCAGATCCAATGGTCACTGAAGTACACTGTAAGTTTGGGATTCCCAACCTTATGACTGGCGGTGCCTCGTTGGAATATGGGGACCCTGTTGTAAGCAGTATAAACTTGTGATTTTAATCCTGTACCCTGGATAAATATGCGTTTTTCAACATTTTTCAAACATCTGCGGGGTTCAGCATGTCCCAACAGCTTGTGAATACAATGACTTTGGGCAGAAAGGATTCCTGTCAGAGGTGTGTATAGCCAAATTGAAGTTTATATTCATGCGATTATTAGGTGAGTTTACTGCTCCTGTTAGTGACTGCAGGCGCACAGACCTGCTCCATAACCCCGTGACACTGGCTTGGGTTTACTGGTGCCATAGGTCAGGCGATGAAATGCAAACCTGCTCAAATGCACAGCTATTCTCAGAGCTCTTTGCATGGACTGTGACCATGCTGGTTTGTTGAGTTGGACAGGACATTGTCCTTCTCAATGAGCAACCATCCCATAATGTGGCAGCCTGTGGACCCCCCCCCCCACCCCAGCATGGCTGTTGCAGTTTAAATTATTCTGTTCAGCATCTGCATCCTATTTAATCTTTGAGGAGTAAAACTGAAATCAAATCCTTCCTCATATGATGACATTTCACTACCTGAATTCTATGGCATATTACATATTAATACCCTACTCTGTGATCTGTGAGATTCCTTAACCATGTGTAATCTCCTTAAAATTCATAACCTGCCGTAAACTCATTCAGATTAATAACGTACAGTATGTTTTCAGATTCATAATTAATCAGAATCAGGTTTACTTGGCCAAGTATGTTCACATATACAGGGAATTTGTCTCCAGTTATTAGTGGCTTTTGCTGTAAATCTACTGTGATGTTGAAACACGTCTGCTGATAAAGGCAGTGCAGTTATAGAAAGGCCTTGTTTTTGTTCGTAGACCCCTGTGTGGGGGTTAAACTTATAAAGGGACGCTCTGTACTCCAGATGAGTTTTGGATCGGGTTTTACTGCTGGGCTCTGGGGCGCAAACACCCCATTCAGGAACTATCATGATGTAGAAGGAATCCAGGCTTGTGAGCCCAAGCGGCAGAATCAATGCCTCTGCTGCCCGAGTCCAGGTCTCAGGTGTGTCTCCCCTGCAGATTGCAGGCTGCATCTTCCACCTTCAGAATATAGTAGGGTTAGGGTGTGTGTCCCTGCCTGTGGCCGAGGAAGGCTGGGCAATACAAAAAGCAGGTGTTGGGTGCCTTGGGGGATGCAAGCCGACTCAGGACTCATCCATTCGCAATGTATACTGTATCTTAAACTTGTCTAGAAGTGTATGTTCTAGCTGCAAGCTTAGTGTTGATGCTCACAGCAGGATTACGTAGGGTGCAGACACACCCCAGTCTTATGCCTCTCATGCCCATCACGCTGTGCCTGTCCTGATTTGTGCCCCCTTCTTGCATCTGTTAATGATCAGTAAGTGTGTTGCTTTGCTGACTGCTGTGCCTGTTGTTGTGTGACATAATGCTATCAGCTGCTAGCTTATTGAACCTCTAAAGCTAGGCTGTGGTCGCTGTCTGGGACATATGGTGTTAGATTGTAGACCTGGAGAAGGTCAGAGATAATTGATCTAGGGGGTCTGGACATTGTCCTTCTGGGTGTTCTCCTCTCATTGACCATCCAGCACCCAGCATTAACTTAGTGACCACACGCAGTAGAATTGTAGTGTGACGCTAAGCTAATGGGCCATACCTGGCTGACATGGGGCTGATCAGCCCTTTACACACGCAGTATCAGTCAAAAGTCTGGACATACCTGCTTTTTTAGCTATGCGAGTCACCTTATAGTAAAAGACTTACATACATAATATGTAATACATATCAAATATTGCGACTACTAAGAAGTTTTCAGCATCTCAAAATTTTTTCAAATTTCAGACTCTTCAAAAGAGCCCCCCTTTGCTTCGATGACAGCATTGCAGACTCTTGGCATTCTTTCAGCCAGCTTCCAGATGTGGCCACCTGGAATGCTTCTCCAACAGTTTCACTAGTTCTGGGCACAAGTTGGCTACCTTGCTCTTACTATTCAATCCAGCTCATCCCAAGCCAGCTCTTTAGGGTTTACGTTGGGGGGTTGTGGGGGCCCAGGTCATCTGTCACGACACTCCATCTCGTTCCTTGTTCACAGGATACTACATAATACTTACTTCATAACTTGAGGTCTCCTCGTCGGTCAATATCTCGTCGAATAGCAAATGATTTTCAGTAGGTGTGTCCAAACTTTTGACCGGTACTGCAAACTAGTATTATCTACACGTTAATAATTACTGGTAACATGGTGTATCCACTAGTGAAATACGGCTGCACTTATTCACAGTTAAGGTTTGGTTTGATCTCTGTGCATCATGATTATAAGCTCATGTGCAGAGCTGCAGTGTTTCGCTACCACATATCATTCATTTGCAGCCGTGGTAACGCGTGAACGACTTTGAAGATCCTCCACTGTCTCGTCTGTGTCGTGTTCGGCACGCATGTTTCAGCACAAGGGACAATTAGTGGAAAAACTCTATTGTTCTCTGGTTGTTCCCATGGTGGAAGGATTTATGCTGGATTTGTGCACCAGTTGTGAACAGTGCTTGGGATCTCCAGATTCTTTACGGTTAAATAATAAAATGAAATGAAGCTCGTAACTTTACTTGCAGGTTAGATAATCTGGGGCCTCAGATATATTTTTCCAGAACTGGGTGGCAAAGCGAAACTCCTTTTTCATGCGTTTCTGCCACCCTGTCACCTCGGTCGCAATCTTTCCGGTGAAGCTTTGCCGCTTCTTTTCTGGCAGCAGTTTCAGCGTGGGAGGTGGCCAGATTGAGTTTCGACAGG